ATACTCTTACTACTACGAAGCTTGGGACCCCCCAATCCTCCTCCCCGACTCCCCACCACTAGGCCACACTGGCCTCCTTTCTATTCCTTAAATAAATCTATCCCTTTTCAGACTCAGGACTAGTTTTTCCTTCTACTCTGCAAGACTGGCTCCCTCTCATTCTTCTGGACTCAGCTCAAATTTCATTCCCTCAAGAGGTCTCCCATGACCTTCAATTCCTCTCCATCATTTCAGCTGTTTTTATTGTTCTCATCATACTAAATCTAAAATTACTTTATTCTTTTCCTTATAACCTGTCTGGCTCATATTAGGTGCTTGATCAATACATACTGATGTATTGATCAGTACATTAATTAGTTCAACACATAATGAACTAATTAATTAACAGACATATGTGACAGGATGGCCGGGTGCGGTGGCTCACACCTGTAATCCCAGCACTTTGGGAGGCCAAGGAGGGTGGATCACAAGGTCAGGAGTTCAAGACCAGCCTGGTCAAGATAGTGAAACCCCATCTCTACTAAAAATACAAAAATTAGCCAGGCATGCTGGCGGGTTCCTGTAATCCCAGCTACTCAGGAGGCTGAGGTAGAGAATCTCTTGAACTCAGGAGGTGGAGGTTGCAGTGAGCGGAGATCAAGCTACCGCACTCCAGCCTGGGCAACAGAGCAAGACTTCGTCTCAAAAAAAAAAAGAAAGAAAAGAAAAGTATGTGATAGGAACTTGGAGGCCTTGTGTGGGATGATCTAAAAGAGAGATCTTTTTGTGCATCCAGGTTTGGGTACTAGTGATCGAACAGTCCAATATTAATGGTTGCTGGCTGCTTCTAGTAATACTCAAAATCCGGCTGGGATTATAGGCATGAACCACCATGCCTGGCCTATTTTTCTTTTCAATATCTAATGACAGCAGGGCAAGATAAATGAATTTAAACAAAAAAGAGCCCAGCAAGCCAGAGAGAGATGTGGAAGAACTCGCCAATCTGGGGCAGGTGCACTGTGGATGGGTGCTGTTTTGAGAGTAAAGTGAAGGGGAAGCATGGAGAGAACTGGGGAGAGCAGCCAGGAGACAAACTCAGTGGCCCTGGTGCACGACGGTGGTGGCTTGGACCAGTGTCAGCCGTGGAAGTGAGAAGAAGTGGTGGGAAGCAATGAGAGTGCAGACAGTGAAACAGGGAAACTGCAGGCAGTGATAAAGCCAGGGCCAGCTTTTTCTTCAAGTGAATAGGATGACGTAAGCCATTCCATCACAAGGGAGGTCACAGGAAGCCTCTGTTTTTGTATTCTCTGCACCTCTCATGAGTGGTCAGGGCCAACTTGAAGTGAATCTAGGTGAAAACTCTGCATCTCTTCTTCTGGGGCTGGGTCCCATCTGAGAGGGCAATACGGACCCAAGATGAATGAAAAATATACAACTCACCTTTGTGAAATTGGGAAGAGGTAGAATTCAGGGTAGACGGAGGAGCCGGAGTTGCAGCATGGTGTTGAGAGATCCGCAGTTTTGGATGACATATCTGGAGGTCTAAGGATATCTTCAAAGTCTAAGGCTAAGTTGTCTTCTACAAGAAGGAGGTCAGGCCAGGTGCACTGGCTCACGTCTGTGATCCCAGCACTTTGGGAGGCTGAGGCGGACAGATCACCTGAGGTCGGGAGTTCGAGACCAGCCTGACCAACATGGAGAAACCCTGTCTCTACTAAAAATACAAAATTAGCTGGGTGTGGTGGCGCATGCCTGTAATCCCAGCTACTTGGAAGGCTGAGGCAGAAGATCGCTTGATGTTCTTTAGGGAAAACTGAGGAAATACAGTAAAAAAAAAAAAAAAAGAAAGAAGATCGCTTGAACCTGGGAGGCAGAGGTTGCGGCGAGCTGAGATCACATCACTGCTCTCCAGCCTGGGCAATAAGAGCAAAACTCCATCTCAAGAAAAAATAAAACAAAAAGCAGCAACTCACTGGGACCATGAGAGATTCCTACCTGTAGGTCCCCACATAGAGGAAAGACACAATCGCATAGTAAATAACTATAAAAATAACAATAGCATTACCATCAGTAAGACAATGGTTGTCCAGAGGCTGAACAGTTGGGGAAATGGGGAGTTGCTCTTCAATGGGTATAAAATTTCAGTTACACAAGATGAATGAGTTCTAGAGATCTGTGTACAAAATGGTACATATAGTTAAAAATACTGTATTATGCACTTAAACATTTGTTGGCCGTGCACTGAGGCTCACGCCTGTAACCCCAGCACTTTGGGAGACCGAGGCAGGTAGATCATAAGGTCAGGAGATTGAGACCATCCTGGCTAACATGGTGAAGCCCCGTCTCTACTAAAAATACAAAAATTAGCTGGGCATGGTGGTGTGCGCCTGTAGTCCCACCTACTCAGGAGGCTGAGGCAAGAGAATCTCTTGAATCCAGAAGGAAGAGGTTGCAGTGAGCCGAGACTGTGCCACTACACTCCAGCCTGGCGAGAGAGTGAGACTCCGTCTCAAAATAGAAGTGTTAGGCAGGGCCCAGTGTGGTGATGCCTGTAATGCCAGTGCTTTGGGAGACCAAGGCAGGAGGATTGCTTGAGGCCAGGAGCTTGAAACGAGCCTGGACAACATAGCAAGATCCTGTTTCCACAAAAAAATTTAAAAACCAGACAGGCATGGTGGCTTGTGCCCGTAGCCCTAGCTATTCAGGAGGCTGAGATGGGAGGATTGCTTGAGCCCAGGAGTTTAAGGTAACGGTGAGCTATGACTAGGCCTCTGCACTCCAGCCTGAGTGACAGAGTGAGACCCTGTCTCAATAAATAAATAAATAAATAAAAAGGATTTCTCTGTTAGAAATAAAAATGGACGAAGAAAATATGGACAAAGGTTAACAATTGCTAAGTTCTGGTGATGAATATATGGAAGCTCAATGTCCTGTTCTCTCTGCTTTTCCATATGTCTTAAATATTCCAGCTTGGCATGGAATGACTCATGCCTATAATCCCAACACTTTGGGAAGCCGAGACAGGAGTATTGTTTGAGCCCAGGAGTTTGAGACCAGCCTGGGAAACATAATGTTGACTGTATTTTCTTTTTTTTATTCTTTTCTTTTCTTTTTTTTTTTTGAGTCAGAGTTTCACTCTTGCTGCCCAGGCTGGAGTGCAGTGGCGTGATGTTGGCTCACTGCAACCTCTGTCTCCCAGGTTCAAGCGATTCTACTGCCTTAGCCTCCTGAGTAGCTGAGATTAAAGGTGCCCGCCATCATACCTGACTAATTTTTTTTTTATTTTTAGTAGAGATGGGGTATCACCATGTTGGCCAGGCTGGTCTTGAACTCCTGACCTCAGATGATCCACCCGCCTCAGCCTCCCAAAGTGCTGGGATTACACTTGTGAGCCACCGCACCTGGCCAATGTTTACTATATTTTCAAAAGCAAAACCCAAGGCAAGATACGTCTATCTGTACAAGAGTATGACAGCAGCATTTTTGCATAATAGGCAAAAACTGGAAACAATCCAAACATCCATCAACAGGAGAATGGATAAACGAATTGTGGCATATTCATACAGTCAAACACTAGACAGCAATAAAACAGAAGAAATAACAGATACACACAACAAAGTGGAAGAAATCTTACAGGTAAATTGAGCTAAAGAACTCAGGCACAGGCCGGTGGGGTGGCTCACACCTGTAATCCCAGCACTTTGGGAAGCTGAGGCGGGTGGATCATGAGGAGGTCAAGAGATCGAGACTATCCTGGCTAACATGGTGAAACCCCGTCTCTACTAAAAATACAAAAGTTAGCTGGGAGTGGTGGCACACCCCTGTCATCCCAGCTACTCAGGAGGCTGAGGCAGGAGAATCGCTTGAACTGGGCAGGTGGGGGTTGCAGTGAGCCGAGATCGTGCCAGTGCACTCCAGCCTGACAACAGTGAGACTCCATCTCAAATAAATAAATAAATAAGAAGTCAGGCACAAAATAGAAAATAATGTATAATTCCATTTACCTTAAGTTCAAGAACAGGGAAAACTAATTGATGGTGATACAGGTCAGAATAGTGGTTAACTTCGAGAGGGAGTATTGATGGGGAAGGAACACTAGATAACTTTTTGGGGTACAGGAAGCATATCCTGATCTGTGTGGTGGTTATATGAATGTATATATATATATAAGCTTTAGAGTTGTGTATTTTATGCACTTCATGAATGTTATACCTCAATCTTAAAAAATCGGGGCACAAGGTTTGACAAAGATGAGTCTTCAGAGCAGTAGGAAGGTCAGCTGTTTAAAATCAGGATGGTCCTGGACAATTAGAGAAGCATGTGACGACCATACATATAAAATGTCTAGCCCACCTTTTCCAATGGGCAATGTACCCTTGAGTCATTAATTTACATCTTGTAAATTTATTTTACTAGGAAATTGTGTGACAAATCAAGGGACTGAGTGTTGTTTCCTTCTTTTTAGTGGGCAATGAGCGAATGGTGCAGTTTGAGGAATACATTAAGTCTTGAAAGATGAGAAGTTCACCAGTACCCTCCTTCTGCCTCACCCAAGATTAGTCCTGGTGGCAGCCTAAATTGCGTTTATTAATCTTTTTATGGCTCAGGGCCTCTCACTGTTGAAGAAAACGTATTTCACACGTCTCCTCTTTCTGTAAGCAGGAACCGTATCTCGCTTATCTTTGCAACCCAGACAGTGTTAGTGTGATCTACACACAGCAGTAATCGCACAACGTCCTATGGAGCACTGCTTCTCAAATTTGGCTGTACAAACGAATCACCTGGGGAATTTTAAATTGTACTGATACCTGGGTCCTACTCGCAGAGATTCTGATTTAATTGAAATGAGGCGAGTCGTGGGCACTGGGATTTTTAAAAGCGTTCCAGGTGATTTTAACGCGAAACAAAAACTGAGAACCGCTGTTGGGGGTGTTCTTCCGTCTCCACGCCTGATTTGTGGCTGTCCCGGACGGGGGTGAGGTTCACTGATATCTGTCGCCACACCTCTTCCTACAGAACCAATAAACTGAAAACTCTCGGTGACAACCTGAGACTTGAATTCTGATCGGGCCGCAGGCGCTCTGCACCCAGCCCAAGCCTCTATGGTACTTTGGCGTCCCCTCTAGCACTGGCAAATCGCCTTCCTCTTCGCCCGGCGCCGCTCGCTCCCTTTGTAAGATCGCCGAGTTCCCGGAGCCGTCTCGTTGGTATTTCATTCCGGAAGCGAGTTTGGAGCCAAGAAGAGGCGGGACTTCTCTCCCGGAAGTAATCCACGTGCTTCCGCTGGAGCCTTCTTGGGAGGCAGGTAACGTTATAGTATTTGTAAGGTCTCCGTGGGCATTGTGATCCGTCCCAGGTAGTGGTGAGTGATCCGTGACTTCTGAATTCAATGTGTCCCTGATTATGGCGTCACCATTTCAGAAGTGCATCCTTTGGGCCGGGTCCCGGTCTCCTCTGTTCAGCGTATGATCTCATTCCCAGGGCCCTGGAGGTTCAGGCCTGGGTTAGAGCGTTCTGAACCGGTCCTCGATCTTCTGAATAGAGATGACCTCTAGGGACTTGGGTATCAGAGATCCAGGGCTCGATTTCCAGGCTCGCCGTGAATGTCCCGTGCGACCTTGGACTAGGCCTCAGTTTCCACATCCGTGAAATGGGGTTAAGCTAGGTTAAGCTCACTGAGGTTAGTGGCCCCTGGTGGTCTGGCGCCCTGTGAGTCTTTTGGATCCTCTAGCCCCGGGGTAGGAGAGTGAACGACGGCAGTGGGTGATGACGGTGGTGTCTCCTCCCAGGATTAGGAGGCCAGAAGGAGATCCCTTCCAGGGTGCTAGGCCAAGATGGATCCGCTCAGGGCCCAACAGCTGGCCGCAGAGCTGGAGGTGGAGATGATGGCCGATATGTACAACAGGTAAAGAGAACCATGTGCTACACTGTCTTGGAAAATAAGCCTTGGCCACCCTTTTCGAAGGTGAATGACTTATAACAAATTTCATCCTGAATGTAGGGGAGCGAGAGACCCATGCTTACTCTCACCATACCCACCTTCAAGGTTGATTCTAATGCAGATGCAGTAAAGGGTCACTAGAATATTTAGATGGGGATAGAACTGGAGATGCGGGAGCCAAGCAGGAAGAGAAACTCCAATTCAGGCTCTGGTTAGGTTCCAAGAAAAGCTGAAAAGCTGAGTATTTGCTTTTTGGCAAATAGCACATAGCCAGCCCATTTAGTAGTTAACATTTTAAAGCCCTTGGCCGAGGCAGTGGCTCATGCCCGTAATTCCAGCACTTTGGGAGGCCGAGGTGGGCAGATCACGAGGTCAGAAGTTCCAGATGTCTGGCCAACATGGCACAATCCCATCTCTACTAAAAATACAAAAATTATCCGGGCATGGTGGCAGGCACCTGTATTCCCAGCTACTAGGGAGACTGAGGCAGGAGAATCACTTGCACCCAGAAGACGGAGGTTGTGGTGAGCTGAGATTGTGCCACTGCACTCCAGCCTGGACAGCAAGAGCAAAACTCCATCTCAAAAAAACAAAAAACAAAACCCTTTATTCTGTGTCAGTCACTTGTTAATCTTCAAAATAATCCAGTGGGTTAATTTTATTAGTCCCATCTTAAAATGAGGAAATTGATGCTTCTAGAAGTTAAGTAACTTCCTCAGAGTCCGCAGTTGGTCAGTAACAACACCAGAACTAGCACCTCAGTCTGATTCTGCAACTAGTGCTCATAATCATTTGGCAAATTTGGGAACAAATCCCGGCTCCACCAATCACCAGCAGTGTTCTTGGACGTGTTACTTGCACTGTTTGACAATTGGTTTCCTCATTATGAAAAAGACATAATGATACCTACCTCATAGGGTATTATATATATTACATTTAAAAATTTCTGAAAGCCCTTAGCCTCAAGTCCAACACTTAGCAACAGTGAAATATCTGCTATTTTTATTGACTTAACCTCTCTTGATTGGTTGGTTTACCCTGAAGGCTATAAATTAGGAAGGATTTTTAAGTGTAGGAAGTGAGGCCAGATGATCTGTGTTCATATTTTAGCTCTATGTGATTCTTAGAAAATTACCGAGCCTCTCTTGGCTTAATTTCCTCATCTGTAAAATGGGGATAAGTATCTCTTAGGGTGATTGTAAGGATTGCATAACAGAATGCATGTAAAGCACTTAGCATGATGCCTGGCACATAGCCAGTTTAACAAATGCTTTCTGCTTAATTAGTCATATACAGGGGCTCAGACAAGTGTCCTGCTTGCAAGGAGCTTCCAGTGGTTGAGGTGGAAACTGAGGATTTATAGTGCTTTCTTGGGGAAGGTGAAATCAATATAGCAGGGCTGGGATGGTCGAGGGTTCCTGGGATGTCACAGGATGCTGCTGACATGACCTTGCCCCTCCCTCCCTCCAGAATGACCAGTGCCTGCCACCGGAAGTGTGTGCCTCCTCACTACAAGGAAGCAGAGCTGTCCAAGGGCGAGTCTGTGTGCCTGGACCGATGTGTGTCTAAGTACCTGGACATCCATGAGCGGATGGGCAAAAAGTTGACAGAGTTGTCTATGCAGGATGAAGAGCTGATGAAGAGGGTGCAGCAGAGCTCTGGGCCCGCGTGAGGTCTCAGTCAGTATATACCCTGGGCTATATCCCACCCCTCCCCACTCGAATAAAAGTGCCCTCTGTTGGGTGTCATCTGTGAAGACTGCCAGGCCTAGGCTCTCGGTAGAGTCTTCAAGATCCCAGAGTGGTAGTGCTTTCTCCTGGTGAAGGAGTATTTGTCACACTGGAATGTGACTGTGTGTGAATGTATGTGTGTGTGTATATATATATATATATATTAAAACAACTTTGTTGACACCTACTATGTGCAAAGCAGTGTGCTTGGCATTTGAGAGTAAACAGAGAAAACCTCACAAGCAGAGAGGAGACTAATGTAGTATTTTAAGAGTAAGACAGTCCGGCATGGTTGCTCACTCTGTAATCAGCACTTTGGGAGGCTTGGGGCGTGGGTGATCACTTGAGGTCAGGAGTTCAAGACCAGCCTGGCTAACATGGCAAAACCCCATCTCTGCTGAAATACAAAAATTACCTGGGTGTAGTGGCATGTGCCTGTAATCCCAGCTACTTAGGAGGCTGAGGCAGGAAAATTGTCTGAACCTCAGAGGTAGAGGTTGCCTGAGTCGAGATTGTGCCACTGTACTCTCCAACCTGGGGGACAGAGCAAGACTCTGTCTCCAAAAAAAAAAAACAAAAAACCAAAACAAAACAGGAAGACAGCTTCAGTTTGCCTGCTTTCTGCTGTTTTTTATGTGGCCCTGAACCTGTCATTTTTGCCTGCTTTCGCTTCTTCATCTGTAAAACGGTTAGTCAAACATGGTTAGCCCTTTGACTATCCCTGTTTTACAGATGAGGAAGCTGAGGATTTAAGAAGCATGTTGCTTGCTTGAGTTCACACAAGCAGAGCAATAATATGGAGGCCAGACCCGACTGCTACTGCGTTTGCTGTCTCACCGAGGAGCATCTTCAGAGGACTGAGCAGTTTTCAGAATGTGTAGGTCTCCAGATGGGACTGTGGTTGACATCAATGCCACTGTGACAGTAGTACCTTCAAAGTTGGCCTTCCTGGCGAAAGTGTCTGGGATGTAACTAGGTCATTGACATAAAGGAGATAGAATAGAGGCAGTGAGTTTGGGGCTTGTGAGTGCAGGTTCAAGCCAGACTATGTAACTTTGAGTTTCTACTGAAATTTTCTGGTAGTGTGATCTTGGGTGAGGCATTTTAACTGCCCTGTGCCTCAATTACCCCATCGTAAAATGGCAGTAAGGTTACCTACCTCTTAGGAAGTTGCAAAAATTAAACGTGTTAACAACCAAAGCACTTAGGAGAGTGCCTAGCATACATTCAGTATGCAGTAACATTAGCTTTTTTTTCATTGCTAAGTTTGGTGGGAGGTGAAGATGACAGATGTAGTGGAAAACTTCAAAGCCGTTGCTCCTCTTAGGGGTAGAGAGCAATAAAGCTCTTTCTAGGTACTGAAGTGCAGCTTTTGGTCAACAGGTGGCGCTGTCTGCTCATGGTCAGCGCTGCTGCGGACAATTTCATACGTTTTATCATTTGCCTATTCTTGGAAGAGAGGACCGGTGAAGAAAATCGATATTATGTATGCCCTCAGGTTTAGCAAAAAACATCAAGAATTTGTTTAGAAAAAAAAAATCCCTGGAACATCTAGCAGGGATGGTAGAAGGGATGAGAGGTTCCAGCTGGAGGCAATGGCACTTGCAAAGGTTTTGTTGAAGTGGCTTTAAGTGTGGAGGTGGAGCCTTCCAGAAAGGAGAGCTTCAGCTTCAGTGTGGCTGGAGTGCTGAGTGTGAAGAGAAGTGAAGAGGCTTGGAGGCTGGGCAGACTTAGCTCCAGAAGAGCTTGGTGAGCTGTGTTAAGGAGTTTGGACTTTCTCCTACTGAGGGCAACAGCAAACTATTGAAGAGTTTTAATCGTTCGGTGACAATGACAAGTTTGCATTTTGGTGGCTCACTCGAGCTGCCAGCCAGGTAGACGGGGGTAGAAGAAGGTAGATAAGGGACTAAAGGGTGATGAGGCAGGAAGCCAGAGAGCAGAGAAGGGGGATGATGTGAGTGAAAGTTGATAATTTATTGAGTTGCTATTGTGTGCTCAACTCCGTGCTAAATTCTTCACATGTATTATTTCAGATAATTCTTCTAACAACTTTAAGACAGCTATGATTGTTCCCAGGTGAAGAGGCTGAGGTTCTCAAAAGCTAGTAAGTTGCCTAAAGTCGTGTAGCCTGCAAGTGGTGGAGCCAGAATTCTAACTTAGACACCAGAGGCCACTTTTAACCACTTCTCTAGGACTGGGGGGAATGGTCCTTAGTGAGAGATGTGTCAAGTTTCATATTTCACTCAACAGTATTTATTACTGGCCTGCTACGTGCAAAGAGCTCTGGAAAGTGCTCAAAGTGAATTAGTTAGATCCCTACCCTCCATGAGCAAGCAGGGTGGGGGTGCAGTGGACAGCAAGAGGGCTGGAACACACATAAAAGGGTATAAGAAATAACAATTAGGCTGACCGGGTGTGGTGGTTACACCTTTAATCCCAGCCCTTTGGGAGGTCGAGGTGGTTGGACAACTTGAGGCCAGGACTTTGAGACCAGCCTGGCCAACATGGTAAAACCCCATCTCTACTAAAAATACAAAAATTGGGCTGGGTGTGGTGGCTCATGCCTGTAATCCCAGCACTTTGGGAGACTGAAGTGGGTGGATCACTTGAGGTCAGGAGTTTGAGACCAGCCTGGCCAACATGGTAAAACTCCATCTCTATTAAAAACACAAAAATTAGCTGGGCCTGTAATCCCAGCTACTCAGGAGGCTGAGACAGGAGAATCACTTGAACCTGGGAGGCAGAGGTTGCAGTGAACCGAGATCTTGTCATTGCACTCTAGCCTGGGGAACAAGAGTGAAACTCCATATTAAAAAAAAAAAAAATAGCTGGGCTGGTGGTGCACACCTGTAATCCCAACTACTCGGGAGGCTGAGGTATAAGAATCACTTGAACCCGGGAGGCTGAGGTTACAGTGAACTGAGATTGCACCACTGCACTCCAGCCTGGGAGACAGAGAGACACTGTCAAACAAAATAAAATGAAGTAGGTACTTTCTGCCATAGGGAGGAGTCATAAACTGCTAGCCCTCAGGTGTATTTTTGCTTATCAGTTTTAAAAATCAAAAAATGTCTCAAAAAATTAGGAAGTTGGCTTCTTTTGAAATTTTGGGCTGGGAGCCGTGGCTTATACCTTTAATCCCAGCACTTTGGGAGGCTGAGGCGGGTGGATTACCTGAGGTCAGAGTTTGAGACCAGCCTGACCAACATGGTGAAACCCCATCTCTACTAAAAATACAAAAATTAGCCAGACATGGTGGTGTGTACCTTAATCCCAGCTACTTCGGAGGTTGAGGCAGGAGAATTGCTTGAACCCCGGAGGCGGAGGTTGCAATGAGCAGAGATCGCACCACTGCACTCCAGCCTGGTTGACAAGAGCAAAACTCCATCTCAGAAACAAAAAAAAAGAAAAAGAAAATTTGGAAGATCTGACAACAGTTGACATGCATTCCTGCCTGGCGTCAGCCTGATGGAAGATGGGCAGAGGCTCAATTGTCTGCCAAACTTCCCACCACTGGTGTCTTCCCTCCCTGTCATCATCTGCTTGACCTGTAGGCATTTGGTTTGTGCCTTCTGCTCTGGGTGCCCAGATGAACTGGATGCTCTATGAGAAAACATGCTGTAAATGTTTTGTGGTAGGCAGCCTGGAAGATCACTGGGGCCTCCAGTGATCCCTTCTTCCTGGTATTCATGCCTGTGTATAATCCTCTCCCTTGAGTGTGTACTAGACCTAGAGACTTGCTTCTCATAAACAGAACACAGCAAGGGTAGTGGGATGCTACTTCTAAGGTTAAATTACAAAAGAGTATAATGTCTGTCTTGGGGGTTTCCCTCTCTTGATCTTGCTCTCATTCTCTCTCTCCCTCTCTCACTGTCTTGTTCTTCCCTCCTGTTTACCCTGATGAAGCAAGCTAGCAAGCATCCATGTTGTGAGCTGACCTCTCAAGAGGCCCACGTGGTGGTAAGGAACTGAGGGAAGCCTCCAGACAGCGAGGAACTGAAGCACTCACCACATGAGTGAGCTTGGAGGCAGAGCCTTCCCCACTTGAGCTTTCAGATGACTGCAACCCTGGCCAATGCTTTGCAGGCTTGTAAGAGACCCTGAGACAGAACACACAGTTAAGCTGCACCCTATCTCCTGACCTAGACAAACTGCGATAATACATGTAGTTTTAAGCCACTATATTTTGGGATAATTTGTTACTCAGTAACAGATAACCAACTCTTGCAGTTGTCTAAGATTATATTTAGTCATTTTACACGTACACCAAGAATATGCCAGGCACGGTTTTAGACCCTTGGAATACATCAATTAACAGCACAAGTAACGAGGCCAGGCACAATGCTCACATCTGTAATCCCAGCACTTTGGGAGTCCGAGGTGGGAGGACAGCTTAAGCCCAGGCGTTTGAGAACAGCCTGAGCAAAATAGTGAGACACCATCTCTACTAAAAAAAAATTAGGCCGGGCACGGTGGCTCAAGCCTGTAATCCCAGCACTTTGGGAGGCCGAGGCGGGTGGATCACGAGGTCAAGAGATCGAGACCATCCTGGTCAACATGGTGAAACCCCATCTCTACTAAAGATACAAAAAATTAGCTGGGCATGGTGGCGCGTGCCTGTAATCCCAGCTACTCAGGAGGCTGAGGCAGAAGAATTGCCTGAATCCAGGAGGCGGAGGTTGCGGTGAGCCGAGATCGCGCCATTGCACTCCAGCCTGGGTAACAAGAGTGAAACTCAGTCTCAAAAAAAAAAAAAAAAATTAGCTGGGCATAGTGGCATATGCCTGTGGTGCCAGCTATTCAGGAGGCTGAGGTGGGAAGATTGCTTGAGCCCAGGAGTTTGAAGCTGCAGTGAGCTATGTTCACAAAACCGCCCTCTAGCCTGGGCAACAGAACAAGACCCTGTCTCAAAAAAAAAAGAAGAAAAAATAGGTAAAGATCCTTGATACTTGCCCTCTGGGAACTTGTGTTCCAGAGGGGGACGGTTTTCCATAGCGGAAGTCTGTGTTAGCAGTGCTATTTGAAGCTCCTTCAGTATCTGGGGAAAAGGTTCTTCTTTCAGTTCTTAGACCTCTCTGAAAATCTGACAAATGTCACAGCCCGTTTCCTGAATGCACATAGAATTTTGCTTGCAATTTTAGAGATTTTCATAAGCGCTCCTGTGGGCTGACCTAAGAGGAGTCTTTTGACAAACATTGTTTTAGGTGCTGGGGCAAAGATAGAAAATCTAAACCAGTTGTGGCCAGGCACAGTGGCTCATGCCTGTAATCCCAGCACTTAAGGAGGCTGAGGCAGGAGGATTGATTGAGGCCAAGAGTTTGAGGTCAGCCTGGGTCACATAGTGAGATGCTCATCTCTACCCACCCCCCAAAAAAGAGCTGTTCAGCAGGGTGCATGAAGGAATGTATCCCATAGTCTTAGTGCTCAGGGAAGCACCTCCCACAAAGTAATAGGTGAGTGAGATTTGAAGGATGGGTAGGAATTTGTCAGGCAGGAAGCATGGTGGGTGGTGGGTTCTGTGTTAGGTGGTGAGAGGATAGTGGTGAGGAAGGTGGGCACAGGCCCCTGCCCTCTGAACTGTCAGAGGAACAAATATATGATGAGTTTTCTCAAAGGGAAAGCCAGATGTTATATAGGTTACATTGCAAAAGGATTCATTGCTGGAGTCAGGCAAATTATTGCAAGAGGTCAGGCAATTATAGGAAATGACCGTTAAGATCTGAAGGGCTGCCTGAGCACAGTGGCTCACGCTTGTAATCTTAACACTTTGGGAGGCCAAGAAGGGTGGTCATTTGAGGTCAGGAGTTCAAGACCAGACTGGCCAACATGGTGAAAACCCACCTCTACTAAAAATACAAAAATTAGCTGGGCATGGTGCCTGTAGTCCCAGCTACTTGGGACGGTGAGGCAGGAGAATTGCTTGAACCCGGGAGGTGGAGGTTGCAATGAACTGAGATTCGCCACTGGACTCTAGCCTGGGCTGCAGAGTGAGACTCTGTCTCAAAAAAAAAAAAAAAAAGATTTGAAGTGGCAGTTGGCTACGCTAGTGCAGGGAATGTTCCAGGCCCAGGAAGAACTTGAGGTAGGAGAGAGCATGGAGTATTAGTGGGTGTGAAGGAGGTCACCATGGCAACAACACAGAGGGCAGAGGGGCTAAAAGGAGGGCTGACAGCAGAGGGCAGGCCCGGATGGCACAGGACTCAGGGGCCATCATTGGGAGTTTGTGCATTTCCCCAAGGATCACGGGAAGGCTTTCAAGGGAAGTGGCCTGATCAAAACTGCATCTCGAGTAGTCCATTCTGATGGGCTGGTGGGGTCATGTGGGGGGATAGGATTGGGAAGACCAGGTTGGAAGGGTTGCAGGAGTCCAGGCCTGAGTAGCTGGAGATGAGAAGTCTTTATATGGTAGAAAACACAAGCTTGCTGGTAGGCTGAATGTGGAGAGTGAGGTGGGGAGAAAGCCTGGGGTGACTTGAGCTGTGTGTCTTAAGCCACTGGGTGGAGGAAGGTGGTCCTTTTATGATACAGGGAACAATGGAGGCAGGGCAAGTTAGGGAGGGGAGGTCAGTTTCAGTCACTTGAGTTTTTTTGAGAGGGAGTTTCACTCTTGTTGCCCAGGCCAGAGTGCAATGGCATGCTCTCGGCTCACTGCAATCTCCACTTCCTGGGTTCAAGTGATTCTCCTGCCTCAGCCTCACGAGTAGCTGGGATTACAGGCATGTGCCACCATGCCCAGCTAAATTTACATTTTTAGTAGAGATGGGGTTTCTCCATGTTGGTCAGGCTGGTCTCGAACTCCCGACCTCAGGTGATCCGCCTGCCTTGGCCTCCCAAAGTGCTGGGATTACAGGCGTGAGCCACTGCGCCCGGCCTATTGCATACTCTGTATTGTCTCAGAAGATCCAATGTAATCAGCCTGTTATCTTTTCAGCGGCAACCTCACACCACAGGCCCCTCATCCTACATGCATTGTTCACACCGGCCCTCATTCAGCTCTCAGATTGTCTCCACATCCTCCTGTTAAAAGATTTTTTTCGTTTGCTGTTTCCTTCTCTCAAGGGCTGATAAATTCTATTGATTCTGACATGGAACACTCTTAGCACAAGCGTCACCCTGAAAGATTCTTCCTTGACCTCCAGTCTAGATGAAATTGCCTTCTTTAAGCATACGTTCTCATAGCACCATGTCTCTTGTCCGTGATCCTTTCTGTAGATGAGGTAACACTTAATTCATCTGTGACTCTCTCCTGCTGGACTGTGTTGTCTGAGGATAGGGTCTGTGTCACCATTGAATCCCTAATGCCCGACACATGCAAAGATTGTTTGTTTGTTTGTTTTGAGACAGAGTTTCACTCTTGTTACCCAGGCTGGAGTGCAATGGCACGATTTTGGCTCACCGCAACCTCCGCCTCCTGGGTTCAGGCAATTCTCCTGCCTCAGCCTCCTGAGTAGCTGGGATTACAGGTACGGACCACCGTGCCCAGCTAATTTTTTGTATTTTCAGTAGAGACGGGGTTTCACCATGTTGACCAGGATGGTCTCGATCTCTTGACCTCATGATCCACCTGCCTCGGCCTCCTAAAGTGCTGAGATTACAGGCTTGAGCCACCGCACCCGGCCCTGTTTTTTTTTTTTTTTTAAATTGAGATATAACTCAAACACCATACAATTCACTCTTTTAAAGAATACAATTTAGGCTGGGAGCAGTGGCTCACACTTGTAATCTTAGCACTTTGGGAGGCTGAGGCTTGTGGAGCACTTGAGTCCAGGAATTCAAAACGAGCCTGGGCAACATAGTGAAACTATCTCTCTACTAAAAATACAAAAATCAGCCGGGTGTAGTAGCACATGCCTATAGTCCCAGGTACTCGGGAGGTTGAGGCAGGAGGATTGCTTGAGCCCGGGAGGTGGAGGTTGCAGTGAGCTGAGATCATGCCACTGCACTCCAGCCTGGGTGACAGAGTGAGACCTTGTCTCAAGAAAGTAAATAAAGTATACAATTCAGTGTGTTGCATATTCACAAAGTTTTATAGACATAAAATCGCATAAGTAGCTGCAGAGCCAGGATTTAGACCCCGCCTGTCTCCGTGTCCTTGTCCACTAAGCTCTGAAGCAGCCTCTAGCCAGGAGCCCACATGACAGCCAATGCGATAATGCTGTTATACTGAACCTATGAGTATTGTCAGGAGAACAGAGTTTAGGGAGGAATTACTTTTGGGGCCAGGGGAGAAGGTTGATAAATCCTATTAATTCAGATATGGAAGTATGTCTTCGATTTTTTTCCTCTTCTCTGTTTTTTATTATTTTATTTATTTAGAGAGAAAGTCTTGCCCTGGTACCTCAAGTGGAGGGCAGTGGCACGATCTCAGCTCACTGCAACCTCTGCCTCCCAGGCTCAAGCGATTCTCTCACCTCAGCCTCCTGAGTAGGTGGGACTACAGGCATGCGTCCCCACTCCTGGCTAATTTTTTTGCTTGTTTTGTAATTTTTGTAGAGACGGGGTTTTGCCATGTTGCCCAGGCTGGTCTTGAATTCCTGGGCTCAAGAGATCTGACTGAGTTGGCCTCCCGAAGTGTTGGGATTACAGACCTGAGTCACCAGGCCTATTTTTTATTATTTTAAATGTGAACTATTTTTGTCTGTTTCTTCTTCTTCTTTGTTTTTGCTTTATTTCTAAAAACAAACAACAACAACAAAAAAACAGGATACATGTGCAGAACGTGCAGGTTTGTCGCGTAGGTGCCATGGTGGTTTGCGGCACCTATTGACCTGTCCTCTAAGTTCCCTCCCCTCACCTCCACCTCCAATAGACCCTGGTTTGTGTGTTGTTCCCCTCTCTCTGTCTATGTGTTCTCAATGTTTAACTCCCACTCATGAGCAAGAACATGCGGTGTCTGGTTTTCTGTTGCTGTGTTAATTGTTGCTGAAGATGACGGCTTCCAGCTTCATCCATGTCCCTGAAAGAACATGATCTTATTCCTTTTTTTTTTTTTTTTTTTTGAGACAGAGTTTCACTCTTGTTGCCCAGGTTGGAGTGCAATGGCATAATCTTGGCTCACCACAACCTCTGCCTCCCAGGTTCAAGTGATTCTCCTGCCTCAGCCTCCCAAGTAGGTGGGATTACAGGCATGTGCCACCATACCCAGCTAATTTTGTATTTTTAGTAGAGATGGGGTTTCTCCATGTTGGTCGGCCTGGTCTCGAACTCCCAATCTCAGGTGATTTGCCTGCTTTGGCCTCCCAAAGTGCTTGGATTACAGGTGTGAACCACCACCTGGCCTCCTTCCTTTTTATGGCTGAAAAATGTGAACTATTATAGTGACCTCCTAATTGCGTTAAGGTCTCTGTCCTTTCCATATCCTCCATTCATTAGACACAAAAACCTGACAATAACTCTCCCCTTCATTAAAAATAAACAAAACCAAAAGAAAACAAAATCCGGCTGGGTGTGGTTGCTCACGCCTGTAATCCCAGCACTTTGGGAGGCCAAGGCAGGTAGATCATGAGATCAAGAGATCAAGACTATCCTGGCCAACGTGGTGAAACCCCATCTCTACTAAAAATATAAAAGTTAGCTGGGCATGGTGGTGCGTGCCTGTAGTTTCAGCTACTCTGGAGGCTGAGGCAGGAGAATCACTTGAACCAGGGATGTGGAGGTTGCAGTGAGCTGAGATTGTGCCACTGCACTCCAGCCTGGGGACGGAGCGAGACTCAATCTAAAAAAAAAAAAAAAAAAAAAATTCAGGTGTTTCCTGTTACCTACCTCACAAGACTGAAAGTCCTTGGCCTCCCAAAGGTCATTCCAAACTGAGCCTAGACTACCTTTTCAGCTTCATTTTCCACCACTCTCTTTTCATTTATTCAACAAATGTTGGCTGCAAGCTTATTAGGCGCCAGGCCCCGTGATAGGGAGCAGGTAAACAAATCACCTACCACGTGGTGGTTCCTGCCCCCAAGAGATGTATATCTCATGGGGTGAGATGGGGGCAGAAAACTAGGCTGATTATTTCAAATCACTGTGGGGGCTTCCATAGAGGTCAGCAGAGTGTTTAGGGGTGGGTATGTGGATGAGGCCCTGAATCCAGCCTAGGGTGGAGCTTCCAGTGAGAAGTGAAACTTGAGCTGAGTTGTGAAAGATGAATATATTAGAAATGAAGAAAGAGGCTGGGCGCAGTGGCTCACACCTGCAATCCCAACACTTTGAGCGGCCAAGGTAGGCAGATCACATGAGGCCAGGAGTTCAAGACATGGTGAAACCCTGTCTCTACTAAAAATAATAATATAAAAATTAGCTGGGTGTGGTAGTGCATGCCTGTAATCCCAGCTACTTGGAAGGCTGAGGCATAAGAATTGCTTGAACCTGGGAGGCACAGGTTGCAATGAGCTGAGATTGTGTCATTGCACTTCAACCTGGGCAACAGAGCTATAATCTGTCTCAAAAAAAAAAAAAAAAATCAAGGCAATCTGTTGTTTTCACAAGAAGGAATAGCAGGTGTGAAGACTGGGAGGTGTGAAAAGAGCTGGCTGACTCTTCATTGCACATGTGCTGAGTGCCCCTTAGGTGCTGGGTGCTGTGCTGGGTGCTGGGATACACAGCAGTGAATGAACACACCAAATGAGGCCCTTGTCCTCATGTAGCAGACAGTCCAACCCCATGGAAATGTGGGTTGGGATGAGGAAGAGTGAGTGTTCCAGCCGTGGGTGTCCACGGACCACTAGAGTCTCATGGTCACACAAGCATTTTCACAGAGAGTGGAGTAATAACTTCTTTATTCTTTTATGTTTATTTTGAGACAGGGTCTCTGTCACCCAACTGGAGTGCAGTGACAAGATCTCGGCTCATGCAGCCTCTACTTTCCGGGCTCAGGGGATCATCCTACCTCAGCCTCCCCAGTAGCTGGGACTACAGGCACATGCCACCATGCCAGTTAAATTTTTTGGAGAAATAGGGGTCTCACTATGTTGACCAGGCTGATCTCGAACTCCTGTGCTTAAGTGATCCTCCCGCCTCAGCCTCCCAAAGTGTTGGGATTACAGGCATGAGCCACCACATCCGCTGTCTTTTGTATTCTCAAAGGGATCCATGACCCTCCTAGCTTAGAAAGTTCACTCTAGGGCTTCCTGTGCTGAGCTGAGGAGTTTGGCCTTGATCTGGAAGTTCTGGGAGCCAGTACTGTATTTTAAAACATTAAACCATCAGAGCCTGACGCGGACTTTGGTCAGCGAGAACTCCTTGTGCCTTTCCCACCGTTAAGTCTTTGCTCTTGCTGTTCTCCCTCCAGGAGGAATGGGAAGGGCAGTACTTAAATGCCAGGCTGACCTGACTCTGCATCCTAACTCTAGCCTTGCTCCAGCTGCAAGCCTACAGCTTTCCCCCTCTGTGAAAGTTATGAGGTTTAAGTGAGCCATGGTGTCTTGAGGAATTGGTAACAATATTTTTATTTTGGAAAGTGCCCAGTGTAAAGTAGCCATTAGTTCCTCTCTTGGCTTGGTGGCTCATCTGTTCCCTTTTATCTGAGGTCTTCTTGGAGCTTTCTGTAGTCACCCTTGTTTTGTTTTGCTTTTGAGACAGTCTTACTCTGTCACCCAGGCTGGAGTACAGTGGCATGATCTTGGCTCACTGCAGCCTCCATCTCTCCAGCTCAAGTGATCCTTCCACTTCAGTCTGCCCGGTAGCTGAGACTGCAGGTGCACGCCACCATGCCTGGCTAATTTTTGTAGAGATGGGGTTTCACCATGTTGGCCAGGTTGATCTCAAACTCCTGAGCTCAAGTGATCCTCCTGCCTTGGCCTCCCAAAGTGCTGGGATTACAGGCATGAGCCACCACGCCTGACCACCAGTATCACTCTTTTTTAAAAATTTATTTAAGGTTCTGGGCTACATGTGCAGGATGTGCAGGTTTGTTACATAGGTAAATGTGTGCCATGATGGTTTATTGCACCTATCAACCCTCAACCCATCACCTAGGTATCCAGCCCAGCATACATAAGCAGCATCATTCTTAACACGTGATTAAACTCACATGTAATGAGTTTACTTCTCATTACTCCACACCATAGTAGTCTGTTTTACAAATGAGGAAACTGAGGCTCAGGGAGGCTGAGAGATTTACCTGGAATCAATCAATTATTGATCTGGAAGCATCCGATCGCCAGGTGTCTGAAATGATGACAGCAGCAACAATGAACATTATGCTCACTATGCCAAATACTATGCTCCGCATTTTACCTGCATCACAATCCTGATTCCTTTGGGCAGTTAGGTAGGTTCCTTTTTACCCGAATTTAGGGAGGAGGATGAGACTCGGAGAGGTAACTCGCCCTAGGTAACCCAGGGTAGTCAGTTGAAAAGTCAAGACTCAGACCACGATCTGACTAACTCCAGAGAAACCCATGTCATTCTGCCTCTCGGAAAACACTGCTCCCAACTGCACAGTTCAAAACCCCACCCAAGCCGGCCCTGAATCACTGTCGGGCGGCTGAAGCCGAGTCGCACTTTGTTTTGACCAAGAATACAGAGGGCGCTGCCTGACATTAGTCGGGGGGCTTGGGAGAGAAGATGGGGGTCTAGGGTGGAAATGTAGGTGCTGGGGCTGTGCCAGAGGGAGAGTGTCCGGGACCAGCGGGCGAGTCACGTGCGTGTGAAACTCGACCTAAGGGGAGGGGAAGGGGAGGGAGCCCCCGCCCCCACCTCGGGGCGCAGCTCCGGACGCGAGTAAATACAACTATCAACTCCGCAGATCCACTTCATCCAAGCCCAGCCTTGCAGACCTCTGGCGCCCGGCGGGTTCCCAGTTCCCCCTCTTTTTCCGAGGGGACAGTGGAGGCGAGGCCACCGGGCTGTCAGGCTGAAGCTCCGTGGTCGCCGGGTCCCACACGCTGAGAAGACCCCAGCGCGGGCGCGGCTCAGGGCAGGGCCCGCGGGACTCTGTACTGGCCGCGAAAGCGTTGTGCTTCCCAAGGCGTCCGCCGCTGCTGGCTACTCCTTTGCCCCCGACCGGAGGTGAGCAGCGTGGGCGGGGAGGTGGGGCGCGGAGGGTGCCCGGCAACGCGTCCGCTGAAAGCCATCGAGGCCGGCTCCTGCCAGCACTCCCAGGCTTCCCAAGGAAAGCCCGTTACTTGCGCCCGTGGTCCTGCGGCACAGGGTCCTGTCTCGCCAAGCATGTCCTTCCTTCTTTTCTCCTGCCCCTCCGACTCCTCTCTTCCTCCCCGGCCCCGGCTCGCTACACTTCTTCTGGTTAGAGCTGCACTTTTGCCAGAATTCAGCGATCTCTGCGAGCACCTGAACCAAAGCCCCGTTTCACAGATGCGGATACCGAGGCCCTCTGGAAGTGGTGACTCGTGCTTCCTCCCCTCGCCCTGGGTCTTCCTTGCCCTCCTCCTCTCCACCTTCCTCGGTCTCACCCCGGTTGTCGCTCCCTGCCCCCGCGCCACCCGCGTTCCCTCTCCTCCCGCCTAGGCTGCAGCGGCTGCGGCAGCGGGGGGAGCTGGGGCTCCTTCCCTCCCTCTAGTAAACACACCCGCCCGCCAGCCGATCCACCACCACTGCCCTTATAAAGTCAGCAGCCACCAGACTTCCTGCTGAAGTCCGAGCCCCCTCCCGGGGCCAGAGGGGATAGGCGGGTTCCGAGGTAAAAAGCCTGGTGCCCCGTGCCCTACGGAGTGAGTGGGGGGCACGCGGGGGCGGAGGGGACCGGTGAAAGCCAGTTCTGGGTCTTCCTCCACGTGGCAGCTGTTGGCTTGGCCGGAGAGACTGTAGGGTTGTAGGTCGCCTGCTGTGGAAACGGGGAGGGCTTGCTGCCGCCCAGCCCCAGAGGGGAGGATAGGTCTCGGAGGGGCAACTGGAAGGTGGGGTGGTAGGCTAGCCTTGAACTTGCCCTTCTTCCTCCTGGCAGCTTTTAGGGGTCTTTACTGGCGCGAGAGTCCGGGAATGAGCCAGCGGTGCTTCAGAGCGCGCTCTGTCCCTCGCTGTCCCCTGGAGACCTGGGCAAATGCGGACTTGCCCCCCAGCAGCTCTGCCTTGCGTACCCTGGCCTGGGTGGGAGAACCCGGCAGCGCGCCAGGAAGCTGCAGCGCGTGTACAGGACCTTCCTTGTTTCCGATAGTGGAGCAGCAGGAACCCTGTGCCGCGTGCACCCCTGGCACTGCTAGTGTGCGCAGAGCCAGCTCTGTGGCACCGGCTGGGAAGCCCAGGGCTCTATGGGGGCTCCATGAGGGTCCTCTCGCGGGTTGGCCTGAGGGGTCTCGGATGCCACCGTGATGCAGGACCGCTCTCAGGGGCCACTGGGGGGCCCTTCGCCCAGCGCTCTATTTCTGTGCAGGCTCTCGGCCAGCATGGCCCCCACGCTGCAGCAGGCATACCGGAGACGCTGGTGGATGGCCTGCACGGCAGTGCTGGAGAACCTCTTCTTCTCGGCTGTACTCCTGGGCTGGGGCTCCCTGCTGATCATGCTGAAGAATGAGGGCTTCTATTCTAACATGTGCCCAGGTATGCCTGAAAATGGGCTGGGTGGGCTGGGGGGAGGGATGGCAAAAGGGTAGGTGAGAGCCCGAGAACACCAGGTGGCCAGGTGGACCAGAAAGCAGGGTTGGCAGTTGGACAGTTTCACTTTTCGACCTCTTCAAATTTCAGGAGGAGAATGGGTGGCACTCTGCCCACTCTACCTCATTTATCCAATCCAGTGGTCACTGAATGCCAGGTGTCCTGCTGGGCATCCAGACCCTGGGACTAATAGGCAGAGTCCTAAGCCTCTGAGAGCCTCAGGCCTAGAGCTCTTGGAAGAAGAAGTGCTGCACCTAGCTGGGAGAGGAATTTCTTAATAGGGCTACTGTAAGGCAAGGGAGAGCTGCAGGAAGTGGAGTATGAATGTAAAGGGCCCCACACTCTTCCCTTTTCAGGACCTGGGAGCCCCCAGGTTTTCAAATTACTCATTTGCGCAAAGTTAAATAGCCTTATTTCCTCTAGGATGGCATTTTGGAAGATCTCTGGATTCCACTTCAATCACCTTGTGTGAGTGGCTTGGAAACTGGGAGTAGGAATTCTAACACTCTTTGGGAGCCGTAACTACAGCCACGAGCTGTCTGAAGCTGTCTGAAGCTGCCTTGGGGCAGGGAGTTAGCCTAGCTAGTGTCTGGGACTTGTATCTGATGGGTATCTTCCTATTCTGGGAAGAGGAGAGCTGTGCTGACAAGCTCCACCTAAGGAACTGGGTGGAAGTGGAATTTGGCTCTCCTCCTCTCTTTCTATCCCCTTTCCCCAACCTCTGTTGTGGAATAAGCTTGGAAGGAAGGCTAGCTTGGATTTGAATCTCAGCTTCCACCACTTTTATCAGTTGGTGACTTCAGTGAATTCCTTAAATATGGAGCTTCAGTTGCCTAGTCTTCAGAATGGGAATAATAATAGTATCAATTCCATGGGAGTGCTGTGAGAATCTATAGTGCTTAATAAACGTTAGTGTCCTTCTGGTTCCTCCTGGCTTCTCATTTCAACTCCTTGCTGCACAGCACCTGATGTGGCTACAGAAGAAAACCAATTCCTTGAGGGGGTGAAGATGGGGAGGTCTTGATGGCTGCTCTAAATGGCAGCTGCTCCACCCCAGGATCTGCCCCATCCAGCCAGGGTTATCTGTAAACAAGCAGTGGGTGGCACCGAAAGATGGCAACTTGCCCATGCCTTCTGGCCCCAGTTTTGGGGTGATAGGGGCTGGAGGAGGTGGGGTTGGCAGCCAGCCTGCGATAGCTGGGTGGGTCAGGAAGAAGAGGCCTGAGATGAAATGATACACATACCAGGATGGCTACAAGAACCAAGTGGAGGGCTATGAGGGACCCACATGATATCCAAGTCCCCTATGAGTTTATCCTGGAGATAGGAGAGAACCTGCCTGCCCTTGATGCCTGACACTGCCCCCATGTAACTTCTTCTTTTTATTTTGAGACAAAGTCTTGCTCTGTCGCCCAGGCTGGAGTGCTTTGGTATGATCTCAGCTCACTGCAACCTTCTCCTGGGTTCAAGCGAGCATGCCTGGCTCACTTTTGTATTTTCAGTAGAGACAGTGTTTCACCATGTTGGCCAGGCTGGTCTCTAACTCCTGACCTCAAGTGACCCACCTGCCTCAGCCCCCACAGTGCTGGGATTATAGACATGAGCCAACATGCCTGGCCTACCCCTTGTGTAACTTCTTCCAGCCTTCCCCACCTGGTGCTGGTGGCATTTCTTTAAAAGCAACTTGAAGATTTTTCCATCATACATTTTGATGAGGTCTGACAAATTGCATGCCTCGGTACCCACCACAAAGTATTTAGAACCTTTCTATCACCTCCCAACACTCCTGCTTCCCTTTTGAGGGCTCATCCCTCCACCTGCACCTTTAAATATGAAAAATATGTAAAACAGCTTTATTAAGATATAATTTCCATGCCTTACAAATCACCCATTTAAAGTATATGACTTAATGGTTTTAGTATATTCAGAGTAGTGCAACCATCACCAGAGTCAATTTCAGAACATTTTCTTTATCCCCAAAAGTAACTCTGTTTTGATTAGCAGTACTCACTACCCTCACCCCCACCTCCCCACCCCCAAGCACCAGGCAACCTCATCGATTTCCTGTTTCAGTTGCCTGTGATACAAGTTAGATTGACCTATTCTGAATATTTCATTTAAATGGAATCTTGTAATATGTAGCCTTTTGTGATTGGCTTCCTTCACTGAGCATAATGTTTTCTGGGTTGTGCCACTGCACTCCGGCCTGGGCCACAGAGTGAGACCCAACTGCTTGTCTCTTTTGGGTTTTTTTTTTTTTTTTTTTGAGATGGAGTTTTGCTCTTGTTACCCAGGCTGGAGTACAATGGCGCAATCTCGGCTCACTGCAACCTCTGCCTCCTGGGTTCAGGCAATTCTCCTGCCTCAGCCTCCCGAGTAGCCGGGATTACAGGCACGCGCCACCATGCCCAGCTAAATTTTTGTATTTTTAGTAGAGACGGGGTTTTACCATGTTGACCAGGATGGTCTCAATCTCTTGACCTCGTGATCCACCTGCCTCGGCCTCCCAAAGTGCTGGGATTATAGGCGTGAGCCACTGCGCCCGGCTCTTTTGGGTTTTTTTGTTTTTGTGTTGAGACAGGGTCTCACTCTGTGACACAAGCTCGAGGGCAGTGGCACAGTCACAGTTTACTGCAGCTTCCACCTCCTGGGCTCAAGCGATCCTCCCACCTCAGCCTCCAGAATAGTTGGGACTCCAGACCTGCATCACCACATCCAGCTAATTTTAGAAATTTTTTGTAGATACTGGGTCTCACTATGTTGCCCAGACTGGTTTTGAACTCCTGGGTTCAAGTGATCCTCCCTCCAGGGCCTCCCAAAGTGTTGGGATTACAGGTGTGAGCCACTGTGCCTGGACCTCATTACAAGTTTTCAATGTGGATTTATGTTATCATTTTTCTTAGGTGTTGCTAGGTCTGTCATAAGGGTAACTATGTTTAACATTTTGAGGAGCTACCAAATTGTTTTCCAAAGTGGCTGCACTATTTTACATTCTTTAAAAAAAATTTTTTTTTTTTTTTAACAGAGTTTTGCTCTTGTTGCCAGGGCTGGAGTAGTGCAATGGCATGATCTTGGCTCACTGCAACTTCCGCCTACTGGGTTCAAGCCATTCTCCTGCTTCAGCCTCTCGAGTGGCTGAGATTACAAGTGCCCACCACCACACCCAGCTGATTTGGTATTTTTAGTAGAGACGGGGTTTCTCCATGTAGGTCAGGCTGGTCTCAAACTCCCGACCTCAGCTGATCAGGCTGCTGCAGCCTCCCAAAGTTCTGGGATTACAGGCGTAAGCCACCATGCCCAGCCACAACAGTTTTTAACATTGAAGTCCAATTTATCTATTTTTTTCTTTTGCCATTTGTGTTTTGGTGTCATGTTTAAGGAACTATTGCTTAATCTCAGGTCACAAAGATTTACACCTCTGTTTTCTTAGAGTTTTGTAGTTTTAGCTCTTATAGTTAGATCCTTGATCCATTTTGATTAATTTTGTATATAGTATAAGATATTTACCTGGTGTTGTAAGTTGCCCAGAAGTGGGTGTGCTTCTAAACCTGACTGTTAGGGATTACTAGCGGTGACCAAAGTGAATTCCTTTCCTTTTTTCGGAATTTCTTTTCCTTCCTTCCTTCCTTCCTTCCTTCCTTCCTTCCTTCCTTCCTTCCTTCCTTCCTTCCTTGCTTCTTCCTTCCTCCCTCCCTCCCTCCCTCACTCACTCTTCCTCCCTCCCTCTCTCTCTTTCTTTCCTTCTTTCCTTCTCTTTCGTTCTTTCAACAGAATCTCCATCACCCAGGCGGGAGTGCAATGGCTCCATCTTGGCTCACTGCAACCTCTATCTCTTGGGTTCAAGCAGTTCTCCTGCCTCAGCCTCCTGAGTATCTGGTATTTCAAACGTGTACCAGCATGCCTGGCTAATTTTTGTATTTTTAGTACAGATGGGGTCTCACCTGTTGGCTGTTCTGGAACTCCTGGCCTCAAGTGATCCATCTGCCTCTGCCTCTGCCTCCCAAAGTGCTGGGATTACAGGCGTGAGCCACCGCACCCAGCCCTTTTCTAAGAATTTATTTGTTGATTTTTTGTTTTATTTTGTTTTTGAGACAGGATCTCAATCTGTCACCCAGGAGGAGTGCAGTGGCGCATCATTGCTGCAGCCTCAAACTTCTGGACTCATGTGATCTTCCCACCTCAGCCTCCTGAGCAACTAGGACTACAGGCCTTTGCTTCCACGCCTGGCTAATTTTTTAATTTTCCAGGAAAATTTGGCCTCCCAAAGTGTTGGGATTACAGGCATGAGCCACCACACCCTGCCCCTAAGGTGTTTTTGCTGAATGTGACCATGTCAGTGGCAGGAAAAGGAAGCATCATGGGGTCAGGAAAGGAACGCTAAGCAGGGAGACAAGATAATGGGATCATTTTGTGAGTGTTTGCTATGTGGCAGTTCTCAGAGCCACAGTTCTCCAAATCGCTGTGTGGCAATTCTCTGTTTACTGTCTCATGTGACTGAGACCACTGTCCCCATTTCCCAGATGGGATCATGGAGCCTCAGAAAGTTTCTGCAGCACAGCTAGTGGAGTTGAATTGGAACCCAGCTCTTCCAGACTCCAGAGGGTAATGCTTCACAACCATCCCATTTTCGGGTGTCTCCTAGACCTAGTCATTTGCAATTCACCTTCATGATTTTACCCATGTGCCATAGCTACTGTTATTTACTTAATAATTCCTTTTGAATCAGTCTACTTTAAAAAAATATAGCTTCGGCAGGCGCGGTGGCTTATGCCTGTAATCCCAGCATTTTGGGAGGCCAAGGTGGGCCGATCATGAGGTCAAGAGATCGAGACCATCCTGACCAACGTGGTGAAACTCCGTGTCTACTAAAATACAAAAAAATTTTAGCTGGGTGTGGTGGTGCATGCCTGTAGTCCCAGCTACTCGGGAGGCTGAGGCAGGAGAATTGCTTGAACCCAGGAGGCGGAGGTTGCAGTGAGTTGAGGTTGCGCCACTTCACTCCAGCCTGGCGACAGAGCAAGACTCTGTCTCCAAAAAAAAAAAAAAAATTATATATATATGTATATATATGGCTTCATTCTAAGATGTAATGTTCTTGGAATTTTGGGTTTGCTGTTACCCACCCCCACATATTATACATATACATATATGTTGCTATACATACATATGTACATATATACATGTATTTTTTTTTTTTTACATGGAGTCTTGCTCTGTAGCCCAGACTGGAGTACAGTGGTGCGATCTCGGCTCACTACAACCTCCGCCTCCCGGGTTGAAGCAATTCTTCTGCCTCAGCCTCCTGAGTAGCTGGGATTACAGGCGCCCACCACACACCAGGCTGATTTTTGTATTTTTAGTAGAGATGGGGTTTCACCATGTTGGCCAGGCTGGTCTTGAACTCCTGACCTCAAATGATCCGTGTGCCTTGGGTTCCCAAAGTACTGGGATCATAGGCATGAGCCACTGCAGCTTGCCAATGTGTGTTTTTAATACACATTCAAATAACGAATAGCTATGAAACCATTTCATGTTACCCTGAACCCATCTTGAGTGCCCACATGGTGTGCCTACCACATGTCGGGAAACACTGCTTTCCCTGGCTTCCAAGCTCAGCTTGATCACTGTCCCACCCTATGCTTCACCTTATTTGTCTATAAAACTTGGGGTCCGGGGGGGGTGATGCCAAAGACCTTTTCTGTTGTAATTAACATGTACATAGGTCTAAGACGTCTTGGTATCTTTGGGCTGGCTCCCCTCTTAGTTCAGAATTTGGATTTTATTCAATTTCTCAGAGTGATCAAGCCTCATGAACGTACTCATTGGTCAAACTCATAAAAGCCTGATCGATAAAACAGGAATGAATGTATTAATTGACACTAAATCATTAGCAGTTCACTGGGCTGGATTATTCCTCAGTGGGAGAATCCATGTCCTTGCTGACACTGACATGTGCTTGAGAAACTTGCTAAGCTTACTGGCCCATGTAACACAGAGGCCCTTTGGTGCAATGGAAAACTGTTGACTTTGGAGATTATCTTGAGTTTGAATCTGAGCCTACCTGTAAGAAGCTGAGTAAATGAATTGCTTTGCTTCTTGGACCCTTAACATTTATAAAATGGGGACCATTGCACTCACCTTGCAGGGTTGTTATAAGGGTAAATGGGATTCTCTATAGAAAATACTGGCACAAAGTAGGTGTTAATTTGCACGCTAGTGGGACTGTTTGTGACAGAAATTGTCATTCAATTATTAAAGACTTAGAAGCAGGAACGGTGTCTAATTCAGGGACTGCAAATGGAAATGCCAGTTGGGGCCAGGCATTTGCTAATAATTGGGTAAAGCAGGGCAGGTGTAGGACAGCAAATGTCTGGGAATTAAAAGAGAGATGAAGACTTGTATGCCCTTGAGAAGGCAAGCCCTAGCGAAAGGGGTGGCCCCCACTCAGCTACCGTCATGCCCAGATCTTCTGACTTTTTAAAGAGAAGCAAGAAATCTGGATTTTTATGTGATTATTCCGGATTATAAACTGGCACTCAATTATAATTTACAACACTATAACACTGCCAGCTGAAGAAGACTCTCCATTGCCCAGGACAGTTCCTTCCCTGGCGGATCAGCACTCAGGATCTCCAGGCCTTTATGTTCTTCCTCATGTTAACACACAGATCCCTTTACCCTTGCTCTTCTGCCGCCTGCATGCCCTTTGGATACGTAAAGTCAGGGGTCATTTTCACCACTGAGGGCAGATATCCTACACCACTCCCTACTATCCAGGCATTATCACATCCTCCTGTTGGTTATTTTGTTTTATTTTGCTTTTTTTTTTTTTGAGGCAGGCCCTTACCCTGTCACCCAGGATGGAGTGTAATGGTGTGATTGTGGTTCACTGCAGCCTCGACCTCCTGGGCTTGAGCAATCCTCCCACCTCAGCCTCCTGGATGGCTGGAACTAAAGGTGTGCATCACTGTGCCCAGCTAATTTTTTAATTTTTTTTTTTTTTGTAAAGACAATGTTGCCCAGGCTGGTCTTGAACTCCTAGGCTCAAGCCATGCACCCACTTTGGCCTCGCGAAGTCCTGGGATTACAGGTGTGAGCTACTGTACCCAGCCTGCTTTGTTCTTTTGGCAGCACCTGTTACTCTAGAGCTGAGAACTTCCTTTCTCACGCATTGTGGGATGCCCAGCTCCTAGAGTACGTGCTTACCATGTGACCCACCAGGAGGGTCAGCTACCCCTTTGTCAGATCCTTCAGGAGCACTTTCTCTGGGCCAGGCACTGTGCAAAGCTCTTTGTTTACTGTCTCCAATTTAATCCTCCTAAGGAGGTTGTGGGTTAGGCATTCTCTGCTCCAGTTTACAGACAAGGAGCCTTAGGCTCAAAGGGAGGAAGTTCCTTGGTCAAGTCTGCAAAGCTAGTAAAGGCTAGTGGTGGGAATTCAGACCCTGGTCTGCCTGCCTGCCCCAGGTGCACCCGGAGCTTGCCCTTGGCAATGCTGACAAGTGACAAATTGGAGGCCTAGGGGCAGCCACCTCATGACTCACTGAGCATTGAGTAAAGGGAAACAACCCTTTGTCTCCTATCACTAGCTTTTCTGCTGAACTTGTCACAACTCCAAGCTGGCAGTTTACCATAAGGACAAGTCCTCCAGGTGGACTCCTAGAGGGGACTGGAGGGCAGTGCCTGGTCCTCATTCTGTGCCTCCGCTTCATCATCTGGGGAACGGGATACTTTAACTGACTCATGGGGCTATTGCATTTAGAACAGGGCCTGGAACATAGTTATGTGCTCAATAAGTATTAGTTATTATTTTCTTAGACTATTGTTTATTGGGAAAACTTCCTCTAAGTTTTAGTGAATTCTTTTTAAATTTCCTTTTTTATTTAGAGATGGGGTTTTACCATGTTGTCCAGGCTGGTCTCAAACTTGTAGGCTCAAGTGATCTGCCTGTCTCAGCCTCCCAAAGTGGTGGGATTACAGGCAGGAACTACCATGCTGGGCCATTTTAGTGAATTCTTGTTACAGCCATTAGAGCACCACTCATGCCTTTGCCTTTGCCTCTAGATATGGGGGCGCTTCTTGTTGGGGGTCCACAACCCCCTAAGCTTGGACACTGAGTGCATATTACCACTTGGGAAATATCTCATTTATGTCCAGTATCTCATCTGAGCTAGTTGAAGCCTCGGGCTGTGTGCGTGCAAGACTCTCCCAGGGTCAGGTATGAACTGCTGCCATTTCTGGAGCAGCCTCATCAGAGGAGACGTGACTCTAGGGTACTCTGGCATGGGATTTGAAAGGAGGCCCCCTGACCCTGGGCTGCTCTCTCCCGTGCCCAGCTGTTCCTGCTGTCATGTGCTGAGCCCTCCCTTCCCCCTCCTCAGCTGAGAACAACACCAACACCACCCAGGATGAGCAGCGCAGGTGGCCGAGCTGTGGCCAGCAGGACAAGATGCTCAACCTGGGCTTCACCATTGGTTCTTTCGTGCTCAGCGCCACGACCTTGCCACTGGGGATCCTCATGGACCGCTTTGGCCCCCGACCCGTGCGGCTGGTTGGCAGGTGAAGGGGCTGGGCCGTGGGGAACTGGAGGATAGGAACCCTGCTGCAGGGGGAGGGGAGGCTGGGTGCTCACTTCCCCGTGTCTCCACAGTGCCTGCTTCGCTGCATCCTGTACACTCATGGCCCTGGCCTCCCGGGAAGTTGAAGGTGAGCTGTCTGTCCTTTTGTGGCCCCACAAGGAAAAAGTGGGTGGAATGAAGGTGGACATTTACCCCAGCTCCTGCCCTTGGCATCCCACAGCTCCCCAAATGCCCTCATCTGCCCTCTCCCCCTTCCAGTTCTGTCTCCATTGATATTCCTGGCGCTGTCCCTAAATGGCTTTGGTGGCATCTGCCTAACGTTCACTTCACTCACGGTGAGTGTTACAGGTCTGGCCTGGCAGCAGAGTTCCCCTGAGTGGGGTGGGGGCAGAGTGAGTGGGCTGGCGGAGGGGCCTGTGGACGCAGATCACTAGATCAAGTGCATGTGTGAGAAACTGTGCAAGTGGCTGCGAAGGGCGGGTGTGAGGCTGTGTGTGTGTGTGGATGAGGCTGTGTGTGTTTGTATGTACAGAGCCCATGAATGTCTGCGAAGCTCTGTTCTAGGTACTGGAATACAGCACAATCAGGACTGATCATGCCATCCTCCATGCCGGAGGTTACATTTTGGGGGTGAGGGGCACAGACAACCCAATAAACAGTAAACTCATAAATTATGTCAGTAGTCGTAGGTGCTGGGAAGAAAATAAAACTGGGTAACATGATCATGAGGGGGAGAAAGCAGCTCGAGACAGCGTGTGTACGCCTGCTATGTCTTGGGAGAGTGGGTGTGTGACCCTGTCTCTGTGAAAGCCATGAGTTCATAGGTGTGTTTGTGAGCGTACTAAGTTGAACCATATGAAATTATCGACACCTCGCCACGCTTGATTTATAAAAACGGCTTTTGCACATGGCTTGACCTATTACATGTGTGTGAGTTGTGTATGTGTGTTGCTCTAAGTTTGTATATTTATGTGAGTGCGTAAAAGCGTTAAAGGCTTAGGAGTGTCAGGAGGGTGGAGGGGAAGATTCGTGGCTGGGCTAGCTCGGCTGTTTATCTCCGGGAAGGGCTGCCTGACTAGGTGGTTTTGGCCGAATTTCACCTCGCCCCAGCAGCCGCCTTTAATTCCAACCGGGGACATTTCACAACTCTGAAGGAAGGAAGCGGATCCCTTTCTTCCCGCCCCTCTGCGCAGCCCATTCTCCCTGCTGTGCAACTTGGCCCAGAGCCCTAAATCCCTTCTCCCCGGGGCTTGACCTCAGACCCTCCCCGGCGGCCTGGTGGGGCGTGGCCAGCGGCTCCTCCCTGCTATGGCCCTGCCTCCTGTAATCTCCAGCCAATGGCGGGGCTCGGCGCCGTCCCCGCCCCTCAGCCCCTCCCCCTCCCTCTGGCCGGCCCCGCCCCTGGGCCCCTGCGCTTGGCTCAGACTTGAACCAGGACATCCCGTGCTGCGTCCTGCGGGCCCAGCTGCTGTTGCCACGCGCGCTGCAAGGCCGCCAGCCCGGGTTAGCCGGCCGGCCTCGCCCTACCCACTGTGCTGGGCGAAGACAGCGTCCGTGGCCCCTTGGAGGGGAGAGGGCTCTGCCCCTCTCCAGATTTGGCTCCCTTCCCTGGCGTCTTTGGCTGCCTCACAGATGCAGAGTGCCAGGGAGACCTCTGCCTAAGTGGGTAGAGGCTTTTCCTGAGCCACTTCGCGGGGGAGGGGAAAGGAGAATTTAGTTATTTGTGTTTAAACACTTTTTTTTTTTTTTGAGACGGAGTCTCGCTCTGTCTCCCAGGCTAGAGTGCAGTGGCGCCATCTCGGCTCACTGCAACCTCCACCTCCCAGGTTCAAGCAATTCTCCTGCCTCAGCCTCCTAAACAGATGGGATTACAGGCGCTCGGCGCCACACCCAGCTAATTTTTTGTGTTTTAGTAGAGAAAGGCTTTCACTGTGTTGCCCAGGCTGGTGGCGAACTCCTGAGCTCAGGCAATCCACCTGCCTCAGTCTCCCAAAGTGCTTTGTTTACAGGCGTGAGCCACCGCGGCGGCCTAAGCACCTTCTTTACTAGAGCAGTTGAGGTCTCCCTTCAGGGTCTCAGTTTCCCCTTCTGTGGAGGGGGTTTAGGCTTTGTACAGCTCCTAAGGTCTTTTCCAGCTGTGGGATCTGGTGACCTTGGGAGGCTGATGGGGCCAGAGGACGGTGTGTGTGTGTGTGTGTGTGTGTAAAGGGCATTCTGACTTTGCCTTCCCTTGCCCTGAGGGCCCGGCAGAGGCAGGTGAGTGGAACACAGGATCAATTAATTCTCTCCTGGTGGGGGTTCTGGTCCTGCTCTGCGTCAGAGCCACCTCCTCTGGAGACCTGGTCAGCTCCCCCCCCCCCCCCCCCCCCCCCCCCCCGCTCTGTTCCCTCCCTTATTCCCACCCTTACTTCCCAGGACGTGATTGGTCCTGATTAAGCAGAAACTCCGCTGAGAGGGTTAAGAGGCACGGCCTATTACCGGGACACAGCCATGGCCACAGCCTTGGATTAGGGCTGGGACAGTCACAATGTGGAGAAAGTCATTCATGTGCTCTGTGAACTTGAGTACACTTTTTCTCCCTGGGTCTCAATTTTCTCTTCTAAAAATGGGTTGGAACAAGATCAGTGTTTCTTTTTTTTTTTTTTTGAGACATAGTCTCAGTCTAAAGTGCAGTGGCGCAATCTCCGCTCACCGCAACCTCCACCTCCCGGCTTCAAGTGATTCTCTTGCCTCAGCTTCTAGAGTAGCTGGGATTATAGGCACCTGCCACCACATCCAGCTAATTTTTGTAGTTTTGGTAGAGATGGGGTTTCACCATGTTGGCACAGGTGGTCTTGAACTCCTGACCTCAAGCTACCCGCTGGCCTCGGCCTCCCAAAGTGCTGGGGTTACAGGTGTGAGCCACTGCGCCAAGCCAAGATCCGTGTTTCTTAAACACCTGTTCCATGCGTTGTTCGGAGGTGCTACGTAATAAAAGGGCTCCATAAACAACGAACTTGGGAAACGCTGGGATTAAACAAAATTAACAAAATGTCTCTTTGAGGACACGCCTGGAGCCTTATGGAAGCAGAAGGGCACTGTGAGTGTGTAGGCAGGGGGCAGAGCACAGTTTCCCACATTGATTTTTCTGTTTGCTTGTTTGGCCTTGGGGCTTTTCTGCTGCATATCCTGGGGCTGTTATATGGAACAGGGCTGGGAACGCTGGGCAAAGGTCAGGAGGTCCCCTGATGATGGGTGCTGTTTTCCCCCATCAGCTACCCAACATGTTTGGAAGCCTGCGCTCCACGTTAATGTCCCTCATGATTGGCTCTTATGCCTCTTCTGCCATCACCTTCCCAGGAATCAAGGTATGGAGCTGCTTGGGGGGCCAGTGAGGCCCCCTGGGTTTCCTTTTTGTCTTGACACAAGAACTGGGTGGGGCGGGGTGAGCAGCAGCTAGTGCTGACCCATGGGTCTGATTTCTCTGCTCTCCTTTCTGTCATCGTCCCAGTGCAGGCCTTTCCCCTCTCTCCTGGGCCAAGGCAAGCTTTCTCAGCTGCTCTCCCTGCCTCTGATCCTTTTTCCCTGTAGTCTGTTACTCATATGACTTCCAGAAGTAATCTCAGATGGAGAACAGGCTCACACACTTGAAAAACCTCCAGTGGTTTAGCTTCACCTACAGAATCAAGTCCAGCCTCTTTTCAGGCATTCAAGGACCCTGACTCTCTGGCTTCCTTCAGCCTTTGGGGCCACATTTTTCCACACTTTCCAGAGGCTGGGTGGATTGGTCCAAGTCACAAAGTTAGTTTATGCCAGGCTGGACCCTGGGCAGGTAAACCTGAGGTACCTGGAAGCCAGCATACCAAAGTTTTAGCTCAGTGCAAGCAGGGAGCCTCTGTTTCCTCTGTCAAATATCAAAGCATCCTTTAAGCCATGCTCCTCAACCTCCACTGCGGGCAATTATTTTGTTATTTTAGAAGGTACTTTTGCTCAGCATCTCCAGAGGAGTTTGAGAGAGCGCATGGGTGGAGGGCCATCAGTTGTTCTGGTGGCAGGCATGGAGGGCGGGCAGTTCTCCCTTCTTTTCAACTGAAGTCGTGTTTGAGGAGCCAGATCTTACCCTCCGCACATTTGGTGGTGTGGCCCCTTTGAAGCTCTATCCTGTCCCCAGGGAGGGAAAGGCCCCATGGTCCAAGACTGCAGAGAAACAGAGGTTTGAGCAGGAGCCCGAGGGGAGGGCAGGCATTAGTTATCCTGGGCAGGTGGCATGGGGAGGACAAGAGGACAGACGTCTTCTCTGTGCATCAGCTTCTTCCATCAGAGGGACTGACACATTTGCACAGAATCTCATTCAATTCATAACCTATCTGCCCTGGGGTTGAGAGGCCTTAGGCAGAGCACCTGTACCTCCCTCTCCCCTACCCACCAGGTGTTGCAGCTGGGAGCACCTTGGAAAAGAAAGATGAGGCTGAGCATGACCAGTCTGGGTTTGCCTTCCCCCTGGGGAACGTGCCAGGAAGGGGCAGGGTAAACAAGGTTAGGCCTGGTAGACCTAGAGTGTTAAAGTTTCCTTTGTATATACTATGAAATGGACATTTTTGGGTGAACATAAATGAGAATGTTCCATAAATGTGGAGTCATAGGCAAAAATGTATCTGTCTTTTTATGATCGTGGAAATTTCAGAGCCATTTTGAGTCAGGGCCTGGCAATTTCAGGTTTTGCGGTGACTACTTCATAGCTCTCTAGGGGCGCTCAAGTGAAAAAGAGGAATGATGGGTCTTCTGAGTCTGACTCTAAATTTCCAGTCTTGGTTTCCTCATCTGCAAACTGGGCACAAGGACAAGGGGAGAAGGCCTCGGAGGCCTGGGATCCACCTTGGTGGGGTCTGGGGCCAGGCAGCCTTCCCCACGGGCCTTCCCCCTCCTCTCACAGCTGATCTACGATGCCGGCGTGGCCTTCGTGGTCATCATGTTCACCTGGTCTGGCCTGGCCTGCCTTATCTTTCTGAACTGCGCTCTCAATTGGCCCGTGGAAGCCTTTCCTGCCCCTGAGGAAGTCAATTACACGTGAGTGGCTGGACTGGGCTGAGACTCTATGCTGCGTTGCCGGGGCTGTGGTGATATGATAGATGGAATTAGCTTTGGATTGAGAGAGACCTCAGCTTGGACTTCTGCGTGGCAAATCGCTTGAGCCCTGCAAGTTCTGCTTTCTCATCTGTACAATGGGCCTGTTCCTACCTACCCACGGGTTGATTTTGTTTGTTTGTTTCTTTAGAGGCAGGGTCTTGCTCTGTCACTCGAGCTGGAGTGCAGTGTCTTGGTCCTGGCACACTGCAGCCTCAAACTGCTGGGCTCAAGCAAGCCTCTGCGTCTGCCTCCCAGGGTGCTGGGGTTACAGGCACATACCACCATGACCAGTTAAGTTTTGAATTTTTTGTAGAGACAGGACTTACTATGTTACTCAGGCTGGTTTTGAACTCCTGACCTTAAGTGATCCTCCTGCCCTGGCCTCTCAAAGCACTGGATTAGAGGCATGAACCACAATGCCCATCTCCCATGGATTTTTTAAGTAATAGAGTTGGCACATAACAGGTGGTCAAAACACAGTAACTATTTATTTTTTGAGGCAGAGTCTCACTCTGTCACCCAGGCTGGAGTACAATGGTGCAATCACTGCTCACTGCAACCTCCTGAGTTCAAGCAATTCTGCCTTAGCCTCCTGAGTAACTGAGATAATCGGCGTGCACCACCACACCCAGCTAATATTTGTATTTCTTAGTAGACACAGGGTTTCACTGTGTTGGCCAGGCTGGTCTTGAGCTACTGGCCTCAAGTGATCTGCCTGCCTCAGCCTCCCAAAGTGCTAGGATTACAGGTATAAGCCACTGCACCCAGCCATGGTAACTACTATTGTGGGTGCAAAAGTAATTGTTTTTTTTTGCCATTAAGAGTAACAGCAAATATTGTCATCCTTTCTGGGTTTGGAAGAGGAGATCAGAGTAGGAGCACCTCAGCAACAGCACTGGATGCCATGTGGTCCCAAAAAGTGAGCACTCCACCTTTTGTGGGGCAACCTGAACACCAACTTTTTCCAGCCCCCAATCAGTTCAGCAGAAGCAAGGGATGATACTCCACATGAAGCACATATGGTGACATGACAGAGCTGACAGTTACGCCAGGCATTGTACTTAGCGTCATACCATCCTCAAAAGCTGTGTGATGTAGATTTGGTATCGACTCCATTAATAAGGTAATAACAACCCCATTATAACAACTCCATAAAGGGAACAAAGTGACTTTCCGAAGCTCATACCATTCAAAGGAGGGTGAATCTTTGGTTGGACAGAGCCTGTCTGACTCTGGAGTCTGAGGTCTTTTTTGTTTTTTTTTGAGACAGAGTCTAGTTCTGTTACCCAGGCTGGAATGCAGTGGTATGATCTCAGCTCACTGCAACCTCTGCCTCCCGAGTTCAAGCGATTCTCCTGCTTCAGCCTCCTCAGTAGCTGGGACTACAGGCATGCACCACCACGCCCAGAGAATTTTGTATTTTTAGCAGAGACGGGGTTTCTTCATGTTGGTCAGGCTGGTCTGGAACTCCTGACCTCAGGTGATCCGCCTGGCTTGGCTCCCAAAGTGCTGGGATTATAGGTGTGGGCCACCGTGCCCGGCCAGAGTATGAGGTCTTAATGTCACCTCCTCCGTGGGAACAGCCCAAGTGAAAAACAGCTGATCCACTCTTCATTTACTTGGCATCTGTGCTAAGCTGGTCCCTGAGCCAAGTTCTGAGTGACACAAACAGGAGCCCTGCATTAGGGAGCTTGCTAGCTTGTCAGTGCTGGGAGAAGGGGTGCTGGACACCTCTGGGACCGCCACCTAGCGGTAGGCTGTTGAAGGTGGGCTCTGTGTGGCGGGTTCCCCTACACGCTGGCCCGGCTGCCTGCAGGAAGAAGATCAAGCTGAGTGGGCTAGCCCTGGACCACAAGGTGACAGGTGACCGCTTCTACACCCATGTGACCACTGTGGGCCAGCGGCTGAGCCAGAAGGCCCCCAGCCTGGAGGAGGGGTCGGATGCCTTCATGTCCTCCCAGGATGTTCCGGGCATCGCAGAAAACCTTCCTGAGAGTGAGTGTCTGGCCAAGGTGCCAGCCTTGGGGGACAGGGGTGGTGGGTTCTCATATTTAGTGGTCACTCATGTTCGATTATTTATTTGCGCCACTCTTCAGTCCTTACAACACCCCATGATGTAGGCGGGGTGTGCTCCCGATTTACAGATGGGCAAAGAAAAGCTCGGGTAACTCTGGGAAGTTCAGATGCAGGATTACCCTGCTGGATTCCTGGGTTAAGGGAGGGAGGAACTTCCAAAATGGGAACAAGGTCTCTGGGCCCGTCGGGTGGCTGGTTTCCTCAGCGCCCCTTGCAACCTCTGAGATTTGCGTGTCACATGAAGCCAGGCCTGGGAGCCTCCGGGCAGGAGTCCTACACACCTGGCTGGCCTGTGCCCCCTGCTGGTCACGGGAGGAGCTGCACCACCAGCCTAGGCCGCTTCTCTGGAGGGTACAAGGAGATGCCAGGACTGTCAGCTCCATGATAAGTGGAAGGAGCTCCTTGGAGTTAGGAGCGGGAGTTGAGGGCTTGGAGTCCTGCTCTCCAGTTATAGGCTATGTGACTTGGGTAGATCACCTAATCTTGCTCTTAATTTCCTCACCTCTTAAGCCCACAAACTGTTGTTAGTAGTGATGACTGAATAACACCATGGATGTGGAAACTGTAGAGTGCAAAATGGTGTGAAGTTCGAGGCTGGTTACCCCAGTGCTGATTCTCAGAGGGCAGCATGGCTAAGGGCATAAGCCGGAGTTCAGCTGACTGCTACTCCCGCCCTGTGAGCTTGGCCAAGTCATTTAACTTCCTGAGCTGCAATTTCCTCATCAGTAAAATGTGATAAGGATAGGGTTGTCGTAAGATTTAATTAAATGTGATAATGCCTGTCAAGTAGGTAGCCCAGAGTGACTGCTTTAGAGATTTTTTTTTTTTTTTGAGATGGAGTCTCTGTCATCCAGGCTGGAGAACAGTGGTACGATCTTGGCTCACTGCAACCTCCACCTCCCATGTTCAAGTGACTCTCCTGCCTCAGCCTCCCGAATAGGGGGGACTGCAGGCCTGCACCACCATGCCCAGCTGATTTTTGTATCTTTAGTAGAGATGTGGTTTCACCATGTTGGCCAGGCTGGTCTCGAACTCCTGACTTTGTAATCTGTCTGCCTCAGCCTCCCAAAGTGCTGGGATTACGGGCGTGAGCCACCATGCCCTGCCAGTTTTGTTTTCTATAAAATAGAGACAGGGTCTTGGTGTTGCCTGGGCTGGCGTGCTGTGATACAATCATAGCTCACTGCAGCCTTGACCTCCTGGGCTCAAGCGATCCTCCTGCCTCAGCCTCCTGAGTAGCTGGGAATACAGGTGTGCACCACCATGCTTGGTTAACTGAATATTGTAGGTCTTGCTGTGTTGACCAGGCTGGTCTTGAACTCCTGGCCTCAAGTGATCCTCCGACCTCTGCTTCCTAAAGTGTTAGGATTACAGGAGTGAGCCATGGCATCCAGCTGAGTTATTTTTCCCACATGAAGCACAGGATATACATCCAGAGGGCACCTAAAAATGTTCTGAGCTGGGCCAGGCGCGGTGGCTGATGCCTGTAATTCCAGCACTTTGGGAGGTCAAGGTGGGTAGATCACAAGGTCAGCAGTTCAAGACCAGCCTGGCCAAGATGGTGAAACTCCATCTCAACTAAAAATATAAAAAATTAGCCGGGCATGGTGGCAGGTGCCTGTATTCCCAGCTACTTGGAAGGGAGGCAGAGAATTGCTTAAACCTGGGAGGCGGAGGTTGAAGTGAGCTGAGATCGCGCCACTACACTCCAGCCTGGGTGACAGAGCAAGACTCTATCCCCCTCAAAAATAAAAATGTTCTGAGCTGAGCAAGAGCCTGGAGACAAGTGAGTCTGAACATTCCCGTCCTCTCCAAAATCACACAGTTAGTATCATTCCCCACAAGAACTGCATGAGCTGGGATAGTCAGAGGAAGATCTGGGGCTCAGGGGCACCCCCTGCTGTCTCCCCAGGGTCTGTCCCCTTCCGCAAGAGCCTCTGCTCCCCCATTTTCCTGTGGAGCCTCCTCACCATGGGCATGACCCAGCTGCGGATCATCTTCTACATGGCTGCCATGAACAACATGCTGGAGTACCTTGTGACTGGTGGCCAGGAGCTTGGTGAGGCACTGCGGAGGCCCCTGGGAGTTGGGGGCATAGGAGGTCACCTTGGCTGGGCCTCCCTCACCATACCTTCCCCTTCCTGCAGAGACGAAGGAACAGCGACGAAAGGCCATAGAGACAGGTAGGGCAATGAGAGCTGGGCCCTGGGCCCACACCTACCCTACTGCAACCCACTTTCCAGGGGGCGGGAGTCCTCTAGACCTGGGCCCACCCAGGTAACCCTGGGCATCTGGGGGATGTAAGAGTCTGAGTTCAGAGGAAAGTGATTTTGGTGCTCTCTGGCCTCCGCTGGAAGGGGTGGTGGTGCCCACTGAGTGCCAGTTCCTGACCCCACTTCCCTTCCCCTCCTGCCCAGTTGGGTTCTACTCCTCCATCTTCGGGGCCATGCAGCTGTTGTGCCTTCTCACCTGCCCCCTCATTGGCTACATCATGGACTGGCGGATCAAGGACTGCGTGGATGCCCCGACACAGGGCACTGTCCTTGGAGATGCCAGGTGACCTGCCAGCACAGGGATGGTGACAGCAATGGTCAAGCAATGCTTTTCATTTTCTCTGCACTTTTATATCCAGCATCTCATTTCTTTCTTCCAAGAAACCTAGCAGAGCAGGGGTACCTCTCCATTTTACAGATGAGGAAACTGAGGCTAGAAAGGGACCTGGCATGCTTAATAATAAGAATAGCTAATGCGGAGTGCACTCGGCACCTTGTTTAGGCCTACAAGACCTCTCTGAGGTAGGTGTGTTCATATCTTCATTTTGCAGGGTTGCACAGTGAAGTCACTCACCCAAGATCATACAGCTTTTAGAGGCAGGCTTCAGAACCTGTGTTATCACCGTACACTCCAAAGTCTTGTTAGACTTGCTAGAATAGAGTTGGTATATTAGATGTTTATTGCTGTATAACAAATCACCCCAAGGCTTGGCTTTTTTTTTTTTGAGACAGAGTCTCACTGTGTCACCCTGGCTGGAGTGCAGTGGTGCGATCTCGGCTCACTACAACCTCTGCCTCCCAGGTTCAAGGGACTCTCCTGTCTCAGCCTCCTGGCTAGCTGGGACTACAGGTGCCTGCCACCATGCCCAGCTAAATTTTCACTTTTAGTAGAGATGGGTTTCACCATATTGGCCAGGCTGGTCTCAAACTTCTGACCTTGTGATCTGCCCACCTCAGCCTCCCAAAGTGCTGGGATTACAGGCATAAGCCATCACGCTCAGCCTTAGGCTTAGCATTTTTAAACAATAGATACTTCTCATTTCATACAGTTTCTGACAGTTAGAAGTCAGGGAGAGACTCAGCAGGGTGATTCTGACTCACAGTCTCTCTAATGAAGCCATAATCCAAGCTGTGGGCCAGGGCTGCACTCATCTGAAGGGTTGACTGTGGTTGCAGAATCCATTTCAGTTCAGTTACTCCCATGGCCTCTTCATAGGTCTGTTCGGGACTTAGCACCTGGTCTCTCCCAAGCAAGAGGGCTGAGCGACAGAGACCCAGACAGCCGCAGTACCTTGTCTCAGATAATCTCAGAAGTAGCATACCATCACTTCCATTAGACTCTATTGGTGAATAACCTGCTATACTGTGGGAAGGGATTGCACGAAGTGGGGGAATTCCATGAGGCAGGATCCTTGAGGACTGTCTTGTTGGCTGGAGAACACCATTGAGTCTTTTTTTTTTTGAGACAGAGTCTTGCTTTTTCACCCAGGCTGGAGTGCAGTGGCACAATTTCAGCTCACTGCATCCTCTGCCTCCCATGTTCAAGTGATTCTCCTGCCTCAGCCTCCTCAGTAGCTGGGATTTGCCATTGAGTCTTGAACCCAGATTCTGTGACTGCTTTTGCTCTTGTCGTGTTCATCCAAATAGTCCCTGTTTATCCTGAGAGGATGAGAGAAAGAGACTGGGAAAGAAGAAAATCCAGTGGCTTCCCTCCCTGCTAGTGGAGCCTGGCCCTGGCACTGGCCTTCCTCCTCTACCCTCTGCTCTTAATGTGGCAAGGCCCTTAATAGCAGGGCCCTTCTATCCAGGACACATGGGTGCCTGTCCTCACCCCAGCCTACTGACCTCTGTCCTCGGCTGACCTCAGGGTCCTTGTGTGTGCCAGAGAGAGGAAGCACTGGACAGTCAGACCGACCTGCTGTCCCCAGGAGGGCATCTGCTTTTGTCCAGGGCAGGGCCACATTCCTGAGGACTTCTGATGAGAGACAGTGTGAGAGCTTCCCACTTTCCACCTTCCTTCCCATCCTTCATTCTCAAACTTTCAAGTGAGCATGAGAATCACTTAGTGGGGGATATTTGTCCAAATGTAGATTTGCAGATCTCCCCACTGAGATTCCGAGGGCTGAGATCAGGTCTGTGAATCTGCGGGTTAAGAAAGCACCCCCTTCGATGCTTGTGTCGTTGTATAGGGGAGCAACATTTTGAGTAACATGGAGCTAGAGAACATGGGTGTCTGTAGATTTCCCATGTTTTCTACTGCCCCAACAGCGAAGGCATATCTGAAGGGGGAGGGGCCAGGCTGAGAACCAGGGAGTTCTGGGAATGCAGAGGCAGCAGCCAGTGACTTCCCGTTCTCCTCAGGGATGGGGTTGCTACCAAATCCTTCAGACCACGCTACTGCAAGATCCAGAAGCTCACCAATGCCATCAACGCCTTCACCCTGACCAACCTGCTGCTTGTGGGTTTTGGCATCACCTGCCTCATCAACAACTTACACCTCCAGGTACCCACCTCCATCCTTCCCCTCTCCCTGCCTCCCGGGACTCTTCCAAAGGGATGGTCCACCCAGCATCTGCCTTCCCAGAAGCATGGTTCTGGTCTTCCAGATCTATTTTCTGGGTTCTCCAGGAAGTGTTTCTAGTAGATTGGATTGGTGAGGGGGCCTCTTCGCCCTACCCCTCCTTCCTCCAGCCTCCACACAGCCTCCTAACCTCTTCACATGCTCTTTTTGGTTTTAGTTTGTGACCTTTTTCCTGCACACCATTGTTCGAGGTTTCTTCCACTCGGCCTGTGGGAGCCTCTATGCTGCCGTGTGAGTCTGTTGGGCTGAAACGCCTTCCTGAGCTTTGCACCCGTGATCAGAGAATCCCAGGGCAGGGCTGGAAGGGCCCCAGGCATCCCCTAACGTACCCCTCTCTGAGCCCCTCTGATGGCAGGGAGCTCACTTCCTTAAAGGCAGCCTACCCCGCTGTAATTGACTCCCCCTGTTGGCGTCTTCCCTGTAATTGACTCCCCCTCTTGGTGTCTTCCCTTAGAGGAAGCTGAAATACCTGGCGTGATGAAGCTTTGGTCCTATAACTGCTGTTTGAAACGGCCCCCAGAGTGGCCTCCCCTCCATGTCCACCCTGAAGAAATTTCCCACGGGCAGCCATCTGCCTTATAATTTTCCTCTTCATGTTAGACAGTCCCCACTTCCCTCTCTCCTGGTTTCCCCTGCCGGGCGCTGCTGAGGGACTCTCCCCTGTGTGTGTGATGGAGTAACAGGACATTACAATAGAGATGACAGAATCATAACCATTATCGAGTGCTTCACTGGGGTAGGCAGCAGGCGGGTCCTCGACCATCAGTCCCTGCATTCAGCCTCACTGCAGCCGTCTCGGCAGAGGGCAGCTCCGTTTCCCTCATCTGCTCAAGTCAGAACTCTGGCGTTTCCTTGACTCTTCTCTCCCTTACCCTCCACGTTCAGTCCAGCCCCGGTGCAGCCAGCAGCAGCTTCCACACCCCAAATCTGAACCCTCTTGTCACCTCCACTGCTGCCTCTCCAGTCCTAGCCACCAACATCTCTAGCCTGGATTACTGTGGCAGCCTTTAGTCTCCCCACGTCTGCCCTGCCCCCTCCCTGAGTCTATTTTAAACACAGCGGCTGCAGTCACCTGTCAGCACATAAGTCTCTGCACACCACTCTGTGTCGTCCTATCTCATCTGTCTCAGAGTAAAAGCCAAAGGCTATACTGTGGCCTAAAAAGTCCTCCCAAGATCTGGCTCAGCACTTCCCTTCTCTCTAGCTCCCCTTCCTCCCTTGCTTCCTCTGCCACAGCCACAGTGGCCTCCTAGTGCTCCGGAAGTCCCAAGCGTGTTCACTGCTTTGCATCTTTGCCTCTACTTATCCCTGTTTCTAGAACATTCTTCTGCAGCTATCTGCGAGGCTCCCAGTCTTACCTTCTTTCCTTCTTCAGGTCTTTCCCTGACTGTCCTCAGGGGGGCCTCCCTCAGCTGTGCCATGCACAGTTGCAGCCTCTCGATTGCCTCGTCCTCTGGCTTTTCTCCTTAGTGTGTATTACTGCCTAACACTGTGCATTTCTCTTGCTTATCGTCTGACCGCTGCCTGCTCCATCTGTAGGCCACCTCCTTGAGGGCAGGAATCTGTGGGCTTGCTTGATCGCAATATCTCCAGCACCTAGAGCAGTGCCTGGCACATAGTAGGTTCTCAGCTAAGTATTTGTTGACAGACTACAGTGGACAGTCCTGTGAGGTCAGTGCCCTCCCTGTTATTAATGGAGGAAGTGGGGCTCAGGAAGGTTGAGCGGCTTGCTAATATCACACATACAGGAGGTGTCAGCATTCAGCTCAGTGGCCTTGAAGTTGCATTTGCCCTGAAGGCTGGGAACCAAAGGGCCCATGCAAAGATCCTGAACACTGAAGCACCACCCTGCCTGCCCAATGGGGACCATGTAGGGGAGGGGATAGGAGAGGTGCTGGCCTGGGCTGGAGAGGGCCACGCACCCCTGATGCTCCCCGTCTCGTGGACAGGTTCCCATCCAACCACTTTGGGACGCTGACAGGCCTGCAGTCCCTCATCAGTGCTGTGTTCGCCTTGCTGCAGCAGCCACTTTTCATGGCGATGGTGGAACCCCTGAAAGGAGAGCCCTTCTGGGTAAAAACCAGGGTTGGCAGGGGGAGGAGGAGTTAGAGCCACCCTCTTGCGGGCAGGGGTGGGGCCTTGTACGTGGCCAGAGGCATCTTGCATGTGGTGCTATCCCTCACTTATCGGAGGCACCTCGGAGGCCTCTAATCTGCAGGTCCCCAAGTTGCCTGCCTTTGAGAACCCCCCACAGAGTGTTTTAAAAATCCAGATTCCCCAGCCCACCGAATCAGGATATCTCAGCCTGAGCCTAGGAGTCTGTCTGTGTTTTTAATTTATTGTTACTTTTTATAGAGAAGGTGTCTTGCTCTGTTGCCCAGTCTGGAGTGCAGTGGTACAATCACAGCTCACTGCAGCCTTGGACTCCTGGGCTCCAGCCTCAGCCTCCTGAGTAGCTGGGACCACAGGCGGTGGCTACCATACCTGGCTAATTTGTAAAAAATTTTTTGTAGAGATAAACATGTCTTGCCATGTTGGCCAGGCTAGTCTTAACTCCTGGCCTCAAATGATCTTCTCACCTTGGCCTCCTGAGTGCTAGGGTTACAGGCATGAGCCACAGTGCCTGGCTCCTATGCGTCATTTTCAATAAACTCCAGGTGCTTTTTGAAGTGGCCCGGTCTCAATTCTTGGACCTGTGTTCAGGCACAATTGGTCCAACCCAGCTCTACCTAGTGTGGGGTCCTGTCTCCAGCACCCCTGAAAGGGGATTCTTCCCTCTTAGCTTGGATACCCTCAGTGTTGGGGTACCCACTCCGGCACAAGGCAGCCCGCTGCTGGTAGACAGACTTTTCCTTACATTGACTCCTCTGCCTCCCTGAAGCTGATCTTTCATGTGCCCTGTGGGGCCACCAAAACAGAAACCCTCCCACAAGAACTGTGATGAAATAACTGCTTCCATTTACCAAACACTCGCTATGTGCTAAGCATGATACATACTTTTTTTTTTTTTTGGAGACAGAGTTTCACTCTGTTGCCCAGGCTGGAGTGCAGTGGCGTGATCTCAGCTCACTGCAACCTCTGCCTTCCGGGTTCAAGCGATTCTCCTGCCTCAGCCTCCAAGTAGCTGGGATACAGGCATGCACCCCCACGCCCAGCTAATGTTTTTGTATTTTTAGTAGAGATGGGGTTTCACCATGTTGGCCAGGCTGGTCTCAAACTCCTGACCTCAGGTGATTTGCCTGCCTTGGCCTCCCAAAGTGCTGGGATTACAGGCGTGAGCCGCCATGCCCGACCCTTGTGGGTAACTTTTTTTTTTCTTACATCTTCGCCACAACAGCCCTAAGAAGGAGGCACTAAGTAAGAATAAGGAGGAGGCACTCAGTAAGAATTGCCATTATTTGCCCAAAGTCACACAGTGAGTAATGCAGAGTGGTATGTGAACCGAGTCACAGCCCATGTGTCCTGAGCCTTCCAAGCCTTCTGTCTACCAGGCTGGGCATCCCAGCTCCTAGAGCTGTGTCTGAGAGCCTCCCTTGCCATCCCGAACTGGAACCCATGGGTTAACATCTCCAAAGGTCAGAGTGGTGAGCCCAAAAGGTCCAGTTTCGGGAGCAGCCTGACCAGCCCAGACTCCTCAGGGGTGTGTCTTCCTCATATTTACCCAGAGAGTGCTATATGGTATGGGCATCCACCAGGCCCTGCCACTTGTTAGACCCAAGGAGTCTCAGCCACTTTGCAGAATTGCTGAACTTTTTTTTTTGAGCTGAAGTCTTGCTCTGTCTCCCAGACTGGAGTGCAATATAGTGTGGTCTGTGCTTACCTCTACCTCCGCCTCCTGGGTTCAAGTGATTCTGCTGCCTCAGCCTCCCGAATAGCTGGGATTACAAGTGCACAGATTAGCTGTATTTATTAAATACATTTATTAAATAAATAAAAAGTATTAGCTGTATTTATTCTGGCTCAGGACCTGGAGAAAAATGGCCACCTTCTCCTCCCTGTCGGAGGCTGAGGGCAGATGAGGACCTGCCTGACTCTGTTTCTCCCTCCTTGCCTTGAAGGTGAATCTGGGCCTCCTACTCTTCTCACTCCTGGGGTTCCTGTTGCCTTCCTACCTCTTCTACTACCGTGCCCGGCTCCAGAAGGAGTACACCGCCAATGGCATGGGCCCGCTGAAGGTACTTCGTGGTTCTGAGGTGACTGCATAGACTTCTGAGACCCAGGGACCTGGATGACAGGCAGTCAAGTCCTGAGCAACCAAAGGGAGAGCCCCGTGTGGCTTTTCCACCTGTAACATGCACACAGAGCCCGGGCCATGGATTTATAAATACCAAGAGAAGTTATATTTTTGTAAAGACTGCAAAAAGGAAAAAAAAAAACCTTCAAAAACGTCGCCCAAAGCAACGCTCCATTGATTGAAGACAGTCCCTGTTCTAGAGGGTTGATCCTTCTTCTTCCTTGGATTGGAGGAGACCAGGTGTGGAGCTGCCTCTTCTCCCCTTTTAGGAGTCTGCTTCCTGGGGGCATCAGCGAACAGGCTGGCCCTAAGGTCCCACATGCATGTGTCTTTGTGTGTGACTGTGAGAGAGACACAGCCTGCCCTTCAGAAGGAAAGGGGCCTGGGGTGCCGGCTGTGTCCTGGGTCGGGGGTTGGGGGTCGGCCCCTTCCAGGGACAGGAGGGCGGGTTCCCTCTCTGGTGCTGCTTCTTGCAAGTCTTAGAGGAAATAAAAAGGGAAGGGAGAGGCTGGCTGGTATGCGCCTGTCTTTGGCAGTTGGTGGGGGGTGTCTTCCCACACCCCCATCCTTCTTCACCCAGGCTCAGCTGGGCATTAAGTAGGACGCTTGACGTGCCAGCCCGTTCACCTCTGGCTGTCTGGCTCACCTCCCTGTTCCTAACCATGCTCTGCCCTTGGTGCTTGGAGGGAGTCCAGATCCTGCCCCCCACTTCCCAGGATTTGGGGTATATCCAGGAAGCTGGCTTTTCTCCATACAGAGGGATTAGGGCAGAATGTTTGAGAAAGAATGCTAAGGTATGACTCAAACTTTCCCACCATAGCATCCCTAGGGCCTGCCGAAAGTAACACTTTTGTGGAGTCTTCCTATTTTATCTTCAAACTTGATGCAAATTTTGAGCTTCCGTGTTATACTATATTTACATTTACTTTTAACATTGAATTGAGGCTTTAAAGTAAATAAATAAATAAATTAATTAATTAATCGAGGCTTTAAAAGTATCTATGTCCGGAGAAGACACCATCTTTGAGGACAAGAGATCCTGCAGAAAGACTGATCTTACTCATCCAGCTCTGCGCCTGCTTGTGCCCCTGAGACATGAGCCTGGGAGGTTAGAGCAAGTTCCTGAATGAAGAGAAATCTAGCATTGGCTTAGGATCTGTCTGGTCTACACAGCTATCTCATTCTAGCCAACCTATGGCCCAAGAGGTGGGTGTTGTCATTCTTTCTTGTGACTCTAGGAAACAAGCCAGGGCGCACAGTGGAAGGTGGTGTAGCTCAGTTTGGAACCTCGGCAGTCTGTGGAAAGGACAGCTCTGCAGAAAGGAGGTCCCAAGTTGCTTTCCGGTTCTCAGCTGCACTTGGGGCTAGCAGGGACCTCAGAGGCCTTGGCCATCCTCCCCCGCCTCCAAAGGTTGGCACTGTAAGACAGCATTCGGGATAAGCCGTCTTCCCTCCCTTTGTTTCTCTTGAGAGGTTAGTAAGTGAGACTGAACCCACCCATTTTAAGATAGGAAAACCTGTCCACAGGGGTCTGGAGACTTGGCAAAGTCACATCCAGATCCCTGGCTGCTCTGAGCCCAGACTCCCGACCTCCAACACTGCCTTTTTTTTTTTTTTTTTTTTTTTTGCAAAATACAAAATCAGAATTGGACCGCACCCACCAGCAGGTTCGGCCCGCTTTTAGAGGGCCTTCGGGGTCTCTGCACTCTCTGTCCGGGATCCTCACTTCGCGAGTAGTCTGGGGAGGTTGAACGCGAGCCGGAACAGACCCCGGGGGAAGCGCCACGTGCCCGCCCGGCCCTTGGTGTGCCCGGCAGGCGGCGCTGTGCGGCTGCGGCTGGCGCCGAGGGTGCAGGGGGCGGCGACCCAGAGGGGAAAACCCTTGCTTCTTCCCTGGTCTCGGGTCTCGGGCTCCAGAGCCCTGACATGGGGCTTGCTCTTCCCGTCCTTTAAACCCTCCCCGCCCCCCGTCCTTGCAAGCGTAATCTGCAGCCTCACCGACCCTCGTAACGGAGGGGTGTGTGGGGTGGCCAGGGGTCTCGACGCCTGCCGCGGGACAGCTGGGCCCCGGTGGGAGATGGAAGCAGGAATTTCGGCCTCGGGAGAAGGGCGTCTGCTCACTCCCCCACTCCCCGGGGCTTGGGGAGGGGGCTGGGCAGGGGCGGAAGCGAGCTGGAGCCGTGTTTGTCGCGGCGTTGCGGAGTGGAACAGATGGCTGGGGAGGGGAGAGGGTGCGTGAGGAGGAGGGGTGCGGGGGCCGGAGGATAGGGAACGAGGAATTTCGACGCGCCCGGAGTCTCCCAGGAGAAGCCCCCCTCCCCGTCTCTTCTCAGAAAGAGGGGTGGATGTGCGCCTGCCTTTTTTCCGGAGAGCCCTGGCCTCTGGCCCGCGGAGGACCCCGCCGCGCGATCCTCCGCCCTAGGGCGCGCCCCAACCCCCCCTCCCCCGTTCCCCACCGCAGGACGGGCTGGCGGAGTCAGGACCGCGGGGAGCGGCCCAGGTCGCGAGGGTTATTGCGGCCGCGATCCCAGGGGCGAGGGGGCGACGGGAAACGGGCTCGGGGCTGGGAACGAGTTCTGGGATCGCAAATAGCACAGGAAAAACGTGTTAATTGGAGCTTTATGCAGATGAGCTGGGACCAGGGACTGTGGGGTATAGGAGGGACGAGGTCGGACCTCGAGGAGGGGTGTAGGGCTCTGGCCAGGGGAGTGATGGACGCTATCCAGATATCCGCGCGTTGAGCCTCCGGGGATGAGAGGCTCCGTCTCTGACCCCCGCCCCAGAAACGAGGTCCGGGGCCTCTCCAGGGTCTCCACGACCTGGATCTCAGATCGCCACGAAGAGAGGGCGGGGCGCACCCTGCAAGTGTCTGCTTTAGTTTCTGGCTGCTGACCTGTTTCACCTTGGCTGATGCCCCCTCCTCCCCCATCTGGCTTGGACTCCACTCACTTTGCCTCCTCCATCCTTTGTTCCCCACACCTGGCATCACCCTCTCCGCGCAGTACTGTCTGAAACCTTCCCCAAATGTGACCCCTTCCTCCTTCGCATTCTCCTGTCTGCCCCCCACCGACCACTCCACTTCTGATGCGTGTCTCAAACTTTGGAGGGCTTCATAACCCACCTCCACTTGCTAAAATGCAGATTCCAGGGCCCCCTTAGCGATCTGATTCAGCAGATCTGAGGGACTCGGGAATCAGCTTCCTACTTAAAGCAGATGCAAAAGGCCCTTCTTTTCTAGAAACACTGGGCAAGGAATTGGTGGGCTGGAAAGACTCGGCAAAGACGGCCCCCACCCCTCCTCAATGCTCACCTCTCCACACAGGAGAATAGAAACTTTCACCAAGTGTAGTCCTCTCTGCTTCTGTGTGATGGTACCAGGTGTGGAGGAGATGGACAGAAGGAAGGGAGGGAGGGAGGGAAGACAAGAAGAAGGGGAGGGGAAGGGGAAGGGGAAGGGGGAATGGGAAGGGGAAGGGGGAAGGGGAAGGGGGAAGGGGAAGGGAAGGAGAGATGAAGGAATGAGTCTGTGCCTGGCTCCTCTCTCCGAGCCTTCCTTTCTCCACTGCCCACTTCCCCGCCCCCCACTCTAGGGCTTCACCATCTATCTCCCTCTCTCACTGCACCAGCCTTGCCCAGTTTCTAATCTCCCTGCCTCCTCCTTATGTGAAGTTTCTACCCAGGCCAAAGGATTTTGAGGTGGGCAGTTTGGGCCTGAAGGGCAGGCCAGAACCAGCCAAAGCTCCTACCTTCAAAGCAATAGCCAGAGACACCTTTGGGGTTGGAAGAAAAGCTGAAAGAGGGAGCAGAGCTTGAGGAAAGAGAATAATAACAGCAAGCATGTAGGTCACCTTTCCTTGGGCTATTGTACTGATTCCCCACAACAAATTGATTTAGGCCAGCACGATTGCCCCCAGCTTACAAAATTTAAAAATAAAAAAATAAAACCCTTAATGTTCAGAGAGGTTAAGTAACTTGCTCAAGGTCACACAGCTTACTAGTGGGAGAATAACTAGGTCATTCATCCTTCCACTGTCCCCAAACCGTTTCTCTAGAGGCCACTGGATATCTGTCCCAGGCCTGCCCTCCTGCAGGGGCAATGGTTGGAGAAGGGCATCATGTACGGAGATGAATGGAGATGCTCAGGTTTCAGAACATTTGACAGGTCCGTCTGGAAGCATTTAATATTCATGTAGAAACCTGACCCCAGCCGGACCTTGGGCCTGCCACCTGGACTATCCCCGGCCTCCTGGCCTCTCAGAGTCTAATGGGAAATTTCCCGTCTTTGTATTTCATAGCAGGAGTTCCTCTTGGATTAGGGATGGAAAATTGGGAGCCCTCAGCTAGTAAAACAGGGCTGGGAGCCCTCCCCCTACTCTGGGTGTAAGAACCTTAGAGGCTTAAGGGCTTATAAACCTAGTCATCTGGTGTCCTTCTATTCCTCTCCCCAGGCGGTTAGATGCTCACTCTCAGTTCCGGAGGACTGAGGCCTGGGCTGTGCTTCCCAAGGTGGCCAGTCGGGGGCGGCCATCTGCTTAGAGGGAGACGGAGCCTGAGCCTCTATCTGCTGCCTTGAAGAACCCCCATATATGGTCAGAGAGGTGCAGTGTTGGCCTTGGGAATGGGCTCTGGAGTCTGTGATCTGAGGATGAGGGAGAGGTTTCCTAGTTCAGGGGAGACTGAGAAATTTTAGAGGGTATTCAAAGTTGGTTGGTTGGTTTCAGATATGGGAAAACTGGTGGCCAGTATGCCATTCTAGCTGGAGTGCAGGTTTGGGATGAGACTATGAGAGAAAAGGCTAGAAAAGCACTTGGCACCAGACTCTGAGGGATCTTTGATGCTCTGCTAAGGTGTTTTACTTTACCCTATAGGATTAGGAAGCCATTATAGGCTCCGGAGTGACATCATAACATATGCAAATTTTGATCAGATGAATCTGGTCACCATGGTATGGCTGGGTGCGAGGGAGGGAGAGATTGCATGTAGGAAACCAGCGAGGAGGTTATCGCTGCTTTCTTTTATATTCCAGGAATGAGGTAATGAGTAGCTGGAGTGGGGAGGTGGTGGGGAGAATGGAAAGGAAGAGATAGACCAGGGCTAGGCGAGGGACTGGGTAACAGAATAGATACAGGAAATTAGAGAAAGGGAGGAGTTAATTACAACTAGACTGGGTGTCTGGCAGATGACAAGAATGCAAAATGGGGTACACTCACAGAATGTGGGAGGTGAATGAATTTTGCTTTTTTCAGGGGATAGAATAATCTCAGACAAACCCCTTCCTTTCCTTGGCCTCAGTTTCCTCATCAGACGGTTGGTGGGGGTTGGGCCGGATGGCCTTGAACGTCCCTCCCATTTCAGGGTATGTGGGTCAAGGTGGTAAATCTGGGTTGTTTGGAGAGCTTGGGGGTCTGTGCTTGTGAGATCGCTGGAGGTGGTCTCTGTGCTGGGTCCTGAGTGGGTGTGTGTGCATGTCAGAATTTGGGGGGCATCTGCCTGTTTGTGGGACCTGTGGGTGGTTTGTGTGTTTGCACATGCTATATGGCTTTGCTTGGTGAGAGTGTGTGAGTGCTTGAGTGCGGGTGTGCACGTGATGGGCGTCCGTGGGTCTGTCTGGGCCGGCGGTGGGAGGGGTGGGGGTTGCTGGAGAGTGGCATTGCTTCAGGCTTCTTCCTGAGGCTCACACACTCCTCCTGCTTTCACTGTTCTGAAATAGCATCTGGACCGAAGGCCCATGAATATTTCACAACGATAATTCTGTGACCTGGACAGCCTGCCTCTAATTTACCAGCAGCCCCCCTCCCCCTGCCCCGGCCCCAGCAGCCCCTCCTCCACCAGAGCTCTTGCCTGGCTGTCCCCTCAATCCAACCCATTAACCTCAGAGCCAGTCTAACACAAACCCCTGAAAGACCCCAGACTCTGAGCTCCCTGGGTTCCTGACCAGCTGCTCCTCCAACCCACCCCTCACCCTTATCCGAAGTCTACCT